AACGCCTCTAGCGGCTGTCAATGAGACAGCCACTAGAGGCTTTAGAGGCTGGATTAATCCATTTATAAACATAGCAGTTTCTCTGAAACTGCTATGTTTATAAAAAAAATGGGTTAACCCTAGCTGGACCAGGCACCCAGACCACTTCATTAAGCTGAAGTGGTCTTGGTGCCTAGAGTGGTCCTTTAAGGAACCAATAAAATTGTACCTAAAGTCAGTTAAGTAACATATGGAAGAATATTTTATTGTAACCAATTAAATGGACACTTCAGATGCCTAAGGTCTGCATACAAGTGAATCTGAGAGAGCACCATGCATTTAACTGTTATTATATTATTTACATTTAATGTCTGATTCCATAAATATCAGCAACTCAGCACCACCACCAAGTTTCTCAAAGAGGAAATTGTGAGACAACTAGTTCAAATGAAATATCTATTTAATTCCCATTAACTGCTGCATAGCATATTTGGGTTTAAATGAGTAAGAGGCACATGTACTTTTAGTTATACTCACCTATGTTTCTCAAGTGGCTGAGAAACCACATATGGCTTTACTGCACATGTGGCCATTTTTTGTCAACCCAGAATAATTAGAAATTAATGAACATGCAAGCAGGTGAATTTATACATGACCTCCTGCTTTGTAATATTAATCACAGAAAGCTATGAGAGGGCAATGTGTGGCTGAGAGATATGAAAACGTTAGAACCTGGAGATTCCAGGAGGTTAGTTTTATTATTTATTTATATGTATATTTATCTCTATAATATGCATTAATGCACTTTTAAACATAATTATTTTTTTAAATGTATTTGTGAATTTTTAATGAGTTCATTGTATGTAGGAATTCCTAATTTTTAAATCATGATATAAAGCTAGAACATGGTTTACATATGCATGAATCAGATTTTATGTTCAAAGCAGAACCATGTGCAAAACTGTCAAAACGTTATTGAAGAGGCCGAAACGGAATTTAATTGTCTAAATATCCCATGCATAAAAACACTTACCATAATAGCATTTTGCAACTGGAAAGAGACTAAAAACATTACTTGGAAAAAGGTTCCAGAAATAGAATTTTCAATACAATTTTTAATAATAGATCAGAGAGGTTCTATCATCATGGCAAACTCTATATACCATCGTACAGCTATTTATAAAGTACCTATATCCTGTGTTCATCTAAAAACTTTTATTATGTTTGGGTACCTTTGACCTGGTGTATAGATAATCTTGATTTGGTATATAATAATGATTTATTAACATTTGATTTTTTTTAAATTATCTTTATGAGAGGAGTTATAAAGTACAATGAAGATATAAACAACGAGATGAAATGTAAATATAGTAAGGTGCTTAAGTAAAATAATAATTCAAATAGATAAGGAGTATAATTGGTGCAATAATACAATTAAAGGTACAGAAAAAAAAATCTGCAGAGAATGTTTTGTATATCAATCTCGGAATGTAAATAGTATAATGGTACAGGGAGATTCCTCATTATAGGTTATAATAACAGTGTCGTCTGCATGAGCCTGCCATACTCTGCTTAATCTGATTAATTTACATGTTACTGCAGTACAAGTGTATAACGAACTCTCAGAGCCAGTTCCATTGATGATGATATAGAAGAGCTGTTTCGTGATTGGTTACTAGCTTTGGCACCAAAACAGTCAGTCTAATTTAAGGAACTCTTTTATTTCCGATCATAAATCTTGGAAATGAAGAGACATATGTCCAAGCGCCTATTGGTGGAAGTTTGGTACCAAGTTTGCTAAAATTTCCAAATGAGAAAAATGTGGCCACCTGAATGGATGGGAGTGACTTTAATGAGTTGCCCATGCCCTATTGGCATGCTGTATGTCAGCCCAGCTGTTATCATCTTGTATGGCAGGATATGACAATCTCCAAGCATCCCATGGAACTATCCTGAAATTCTGTGCAATGCCTTCATTGGCAGTGGAATCTACCAGTGACACAGAGACCCAGCTCCCAGTTTAAACCGTGCAGGTTTTGGAGAAATCTCAAGACTTTACAAACATGAGTAATATTTACATTCAAGTGGCAAACAATCCCTCGTACTGCCAGACTGGTACCCACACTGGGTAACTTTATATTATGTTACTTGTCTCTCTGCCAGAACAGAAGCACTGATGGAGAGGTCCAAAGCTAAAACAATAGCATTTTTATTTTATAAGAAAAGAAAATAACAAAACTTGGATTGTTCACATTTTGAGTTTCGAGAGAGTTTAGAGTAAGGAAGTACATATTTTAGACACTACTGTCCCTTTAATGATAACTCACTTAAAGAAACACATTTGAATTTTCCAATATGATTCATCTATTTTGATCAACAATTGGAACAAACACAGACTAGCTGCGGACTGAGAGTTCCAGATTTTATTTAGTTCTGCTGTAAATCTGCCTCTATTTATTCCTTTCCATCTTTAAACACTGTGACACTTGGACACAATCACTGGTGTTACATCTCTTTAGTGCAATAAAACGTAATTAGTAACTTAAATAAGGAAATGACACTTTATTCATGTACAGTAACATTGTTTCTATTTATGAACCAGCTGTTTTTTGCAAGGTTTTATAAATCAGTGATCCTAACTTTCTCTTGCATGTTAGTAAATTATAATTGCAAGACTATTAGAACTAGTCTAATGTACTCATTGTCCTTATCCATCTACTTTCATGTAGCAAATGAAAGACCTGTCCAAATCTGTTTAATGAGGAACCCTACACTGTAGTCAACTCTGACATAGATTCCTGACAAAGTGCTGCTGGGGGGGTCGGTACATAGAACCGCAAGGTTGTGACAGGTTAGTAAAAATGACAAGGTATGCTCCAAAATGCTACTGAAATATTATTTTTCCAATTAAGCAATGCAAACCATAAAGGGACAATATAGGCATCGAGATGACGTTATCTCATTAAACTAATCTGGGTGTGCTGTTATGGGCAAATGCAAATATTACAAGTTTTAGAATGAAATGTTGTATTTCTTAAACTGTGTACTTTGTCTTTAAGAGATATTGCAAACTGACATGGTGTTAGAAATGGAACATATTGTTTTTCATAACTGTTTCTTTAAGCAATAACCTCTTACCTACCTTCAGTGCATAATATGTTTACGCCATTATGTCCCAGACGAATTACAATAACAATAATGCATAAACAAGCTTCAAGGCTATGCTACGTCCCTGTCCTGTAAAACATTGCAGTTTTAGAGACTAAGGCTGCCTCTAATGGCTGTGCACCAGAGAGCCACTAGAGACTATTCTTGGAGTTTCACAGAGTGTGAGGATGTCCAGTGTCAGAGAAAATCCCACAGGATAGCACTGAGGCAATGCTTTCCTACGGGGAAGGCCTAATGCATGCGCGGTCAGATGACATCAGAGAAGGCGGACCAAGACCCAGAGTGTTGAAATTATTTAAGTGAATAAAGGGTTATTTAATTCTTTACATCGGTAGGGTGGTGCCGCAGGGGATTAGGAACCCGTTAGTGTTATGAATACAGGCTGCAGGAAACCAGAGAACAAAGGACACTGAATCTGGAGCGGTCCTGTAGAACCGAAAAAAAACCAAAAACTTATGGGTGAGGTATTAAGTCCACTAGCACCACTACTGCTAATATAAGGGAAACCCGTCGAGCCCATTCTAGTACTAGTACCCCCTATATTTGCAACCTGTGCAACCCTTTCTAAGATGTAGCACCAGAGTATGTAGTAATAGTTATGTGTAACAATTTCTTCGAGAAAGGCTGAGAATATTCCTTAAAGAACTGTGTCAGTACTGCTCTGCCTCATTCTCTTAATATTTACTCTCCTTGTTTAGAAATCAGTTGTTTCATGGTAAAATGACCCTCTCTTTTAACTATAATTTAAATTTAATTGAGGAAGCTTCTATCTACCGCATGAATATAACCAGATGCTAAAGAATCTCTCCATGGAAACTCTCCTCGCTGATTGTAAATGCAAAGATCATCTATCTATTTATCTTAATGACAAACGTGTCATTCAGCGACAGACAGTTGTGGGGAGAGAAAGACAATACCCATTTTACTGAATTTTTTTTAAAAGCAAGACATCATGTCTATGTCAAAAAACAGCAATTAGTTACAGTATATCGGTGATCATGTATGGATTTGTAATGACGCTCTGTATTTTGTAACAATAGAAATATTTTTAATTAACCCATGTGTTATGGCAGTCTTTTTTCAAAAAATGCTTATAAACTATGAGCTTTCTTTATAATATTAATATATTGTTAAACGAAATAAAAGATACAATTAAATAACATGTTGCGTGTTATGACTCACAGCTCATGAATGAACAACTGACAGTTTGGGAAGGTACAGCATTTTTTTTTAATCCTTCTAACTGTCCAATCGTGTGTAGTATCCACAGGCATTGAAATATGAGTCACATGAAAACTGGATGATGCCAACACACTTCATAAACAAAATCCTAAATTGTGTAAAATCAACAAGAGAATTGTAGAGTTATAGCTATTTTCAAGAATAAGAGTAAAATGTTCAGGCATCAAATTTTCCTGCCAAATTTTGTGCTAAATCTATTTGTTTCAATCAGATGAAATCCATTGTATTTACAAAGAGTGTACTGAAGAAAAACAAAATAATTTTAACAAGTTTAAAAAAACTAAACATTATTACCACATACCAGGAACAAATAAAAATGAGAATGGGTCAAAGAAGTTAGTCTATCTACATGTACCAAGAAAAAAAACGAATTGAAAAAACATATCCAAAGATGTTCTATTACCTATGAAGGTGACTAGAGCAATGGGCTTCACAGACCCACCACCCCCACCTTTCCTTGCAGTAAATCCCTGGACCTTTAACAACCCTCAAGAGTCCCTGGTTACGAGGTGGGGTGTATAGCTAAATTGGCCAAGGGATCCCAACTCCCTAGTACGGATATATTTAGGCTGGTTGGACTCAGTAGGGAAAGGAATTCACAAACATCCGGAGTTAGTTTCAGTGTTATCTGTTGTGAGATATAAAAATAAAAAAACAATTATGACATCAACAGTGTCTCAATGTCAATCTTCAAAGAGTCATACTGTCTGCTTTAATCTGCCCATAGCACTGGTTCATTCATAATATTTTAGTGATTTCTACTTACAGATGTGCAAACAATGCCTATTAATACTGTTAGACTCTTCCTTTATCACATACTTCTACCGAACATCAAAGTGAGTTAACCATGATCTCAAAAGGAAGAATGGAGGCCTTAATTTAATATTGATGGATTAATAATTTCAATGATAATATTATGATTTAATATTTTTTTTAAACTTTTACAATGATTTTTTCAAAATATCAAAATATCAAAAAATAGATTATATATATAAAACAATAACAAAAATATCAAACTATTTTTCAAAATATAAAGTTATTTGAAAAGTTTATCCAAAAATATTAAATTGAGGCCAGAATCGAAAGACACAAATTGAGGTCAGAGTCGAAAGACAATGTGCAAAAATGTTAACTTATCTTTAGCAGAGTTATTCTCAATTCTAGAATTTAATGTGCACTTCAAATTTAAGGTGAAAATAGATGAACTGCTTCCACTTCACCTACAGGGTAATTCACTAAATATCAGATTTTGTCTAAATGCACAAAAATTTGGTGTAAATTGATGAATTCCAACTGGAATGCCAATTCACATTTTTACAAAAGATAATTCAGGTTGGAATTTGGCCATACTGACCAAACCTGCACCAAACGGCCTGATGTATTTGGTGATCGAACGCATCCTGCAGGATACAACTTCGCAAATAATCATTCACATGCTTTTTGCAAGCAAACAATAATTTGAAAGACTCTCGGTGGTGGTGAGGGTAATCATCTGGAAGCCACATTAAAAAAGTGTAAAAATGAAAAGAAACTTTAAAAAAAGCCTATGGAGAAAACTAGAAAACTAGTGACTTGGCAGCCATTGCTGTTCAATTGTTAGAAGTGTAGATTGCCAAAAATTCCAAAAATTCCTAAATGTACATATAGAGTATATACAGCTCCTATCTAAAATCATACACTTCATCTTAAACTTAAAGGGACACTATAGTCACCTAAATAACTTTAGCTTAATAGAGCAGTTTTGGTGTATTGTTCATATCCCTACAGTCAAACTGCTCAATTATCTGCCATTTAGGAGTTTAATCACTTTGTTTATATAGACCTAGTCACATCCTCAGGGATCTGTACTTGGACCCATTCTCTTTAATATTTTTATTAGTGATATTGCAGAAGGTCTTGATGGTAAGGTATGTCTTTTTGCTGATGATACTAAGATATGTAACAGGGTTGATGTTCCAGGATGGATAAGCCAAATGGCAAATGATTTAGGTAAACTAGAAAAATGGTCAGAATTGTGGCAACTGACATTTAATGTGGATAAGTGCAAGATAATGCATCTTGGACGTAAAAACCCAAGGGCAGAGTACAGAATATTTGATAGAGTCCTAACCTCAACAAATGAGGAAAGGGATTTAGAGGTGATTATTTCTGATGACTTAAAGGTAGGCAGACAATGTAATAGAGCAGCAGGAAATGCTAGCAGAATGCTTGGTTGTATAGGGAGAGGTATTAGCAGTAGAAAGAGGGAAGTGCTCATGCCATTGTACAGAACACTGGTGAGATCTCACTTGGAGTATTGTACACAGTACTGGAGACCGTATCTTCAGAAGGATATTGATACCTTAGAGAGGGTTCAGAGAAGGGCTACTAAACTGGTTCATGGATTGCGGGATAAAACTTACCAGGAAAGGTTAAAGGATCTTAACATGTATAGCTTGGAGGAAAGACGAGACAGGGGGGATATGATAGAAACATTTAAATATATAAAGGGAATCAACACAGTAAAGGAGGAGACTATATTTAAAAGAAGAAAAACTACCACAACAAGAGGACATAGTCTTAAATTAGAGGGACAAAGGTTTAAAAATAATATCAGGAAGTATTACTTTACTGAGAGGGTAGTGGATGCATGGAATAGCCTTCCAGCTGAAGTGGTAGAGGTTAACACAGTAAAGGAGTTTAAGCATGCGTGGGATAGGCATAAGGCTATCCTAACAATAAGATAAGGCTAGGGACTAATGAAAGTATTTAGAAAATTGGGCAGACTAGATGGGCCGAATGGTTCTTATCTGCTGTCACATTCTATGTTTCTATGTTTCTATCCTTCCTAAACACTTCCTGCAAAGAGAGATCTAATGTTTACACTTCCTTTATTGCAAATTCTGTTAAATTTAGAATTTCCTCTCTCCTACTTTGTTAATAGCTTACTAGACCATGTATGTAATAAAAGTTCAATTTACAGAGCAGATGATAAAAAGTTTAAAGTAAGTTAACATCTGATTTAAATTTAAACCATTTTGCTTTCATGCAGCATGTGTGAGTCACAGTCAGAGGAGGTGTGGCTAGGGCTGTATAAATTGAAACAAAGGTGATTTAATTCCTAAATGGCAGTGAAGTGTGCAGTAAAACTTCAGAGGTATGATCTATACACAAAAGCTGCTTCATTAAGCTAAAGTTGTTTTGGGGATTTAAGTGTCCCTTTAAGATGTGCATTATGCCCAGAGACCTTACAAATCTTCCCACCCATTGCTGTTAGAATGGAACTATATAGGCTCCACTGCAGGTCAAATGAGGAGAGACTAGGATGACGTCAATACAGAAGAATGAGTGAAGGAGTTGGTAAAATCAATTTTATTCATTTGTTTCCATTTCTGGGTTGGGATAGAAGGGATTAACATTATATCACTGAATAAATGCAATGCACTAATACAATCAACTTATTACAGATTATCAGACTGGTTAAAACCTATGACTAACATAATTCATGTTACATACCAATGAACAATGTATAAATTTGATTGTTTTTCATTATTTTCTTTGAATAGTTTTATATCCTGCCGCGTCCCTATGTTTTCCTACTGGGATAATAAAGTTTTATTCCTGATCACAACTACAATGGACTTTTCTAAGTTTTTTTCCCCCTTTTATTGTAGCTTGCAATTACATTGACCTTGTTGTGTTAACTGCTATTAGCCATGAGTAATTAGTTCTTCATGGTCAAACGGTCTGATGCTGAATCATTAAACTCAAAAACTCTTACCGGTAAGAGTTTTATTAGCCTTTAACTCAACTCGCATTTTGAATAAAATGCTACAAAAAAAGAATAAAATAATGTCTATTCACTAAACAGGGAATTGTAACAAACGGATCTCTGATTTTATATGAAATAACTACATTCTAAATAAAGTAGATATCGAGATGTTTTCTATATGAATATTTTGGCTTCATTTAAAGGATTAGTCACTTAAATCGGAAGTTAAATCCAAATGGCAAAATTAAGGCAAAACTAGCCAAGCTGTGTCTAAGTTCAGTTGTAACTTTTTCAAACAGAGAATGATTGCATGAAATTCAGTCCAATACACTGAGTTGAATATCTTTGGATTTTGAATGTGCTATTTATCGATGGCACCTAATATACTCACTTAAACCAGATCAATAACAGCAAAGAGATATATTTATTACACACATCGTCGTAAAAATCAAAATAATCTTTGAATAAAACATCTTGAATGTGCATGAGTTAACTGATATCATTATGGAGAAATACGGTGTGAATACTATAGAGGAGGAGGTTGATACAAAGATCTTTCCTGTACTTCTATTATTGGAGTGAGAGATAGATTAGGATCCCACAGACTCTACAAAATTACTGGTTTTGACCCTACCTTCATTTTTCACATAGGCATTGTGACCCCAGAACCCTAGGTAGCCATCTAAGATCATCTTAGAATTTATCCAGTTCAGACTGGATTGCCTTCAATGATAGCTTAAAGGGAACGCTGATTACAATATGTGTAAGTTTTAAAATAAAATATCAGAGCACTGGAAACCAGGGAAAAGATTGGAAGGGCACCATATTTGCAACTTTTGGATTAAGCCATTCATAAATTATTTAACCCTTTAAAGTATGAGGCACCCCGGACCTCCTTGCACTATACAATCTCAATTTAAATAAAGTTGTTATGGTGTCTGGAGCATACCTGCAATAAGATGTAATTACCATGGAAACCAAAGGAATGTCTCTTTGCATTTGGCAATTCTCACTCACATTAGCACATATTTTGCCTTAATAACCCCCTTTCGTTGTCATCTGCCCAGTCAATGGATACATTTTATTATCATCGGATGTATTTATCAAGAGGTGAATTTTATGCTTAGTTTTTTATATCAGAGATAAAAGATAGTGGGTTTCTACTGCTTGTTAAATAATCAGGTAGATAGCTTGGACAACCAAAACCAGAGTCTCTCCCTTCTGGGTGTCCTCAGATCCAGGTCAGTGTTAATCAATATGTAACGATAAAAAAGATAAAGTGCAAAATATAGTGTAGTAAGTTGGCAATGTAATAAAAGGAAGAAAAAAAGGAATTGTACTGAAAATTAGCTCCAAATTGATACGCTTTGTGGTAAATTCCCCGCCTATGGATATACTGACTTGGTCCAATGGAGGGTGGGAAAAGAACAAATGACACTAATAGAGTTTAGTACCAATATAGTGTAGTTTGTTGAGTGTACTGGGTGGAGTGAATCTATATAGATGTACACTCACAATTTTGGAGCCTACTGATGGCTCCCAGTAAATGGCGTGTAGTGGAACAATCCACACTCTTGGATACATGTGGCAGGGATTTTCACCATGGAATATGTGGATAAAACAGAGATAAACATATATTGTAGAACTCATTTTATTGTGTAGAAATAAAAGGAATAAAAGAGATGGACTCACTGATGAAGAGCAAAAACGGTTTTGCTCAATCCATGTGATGTAGGTGGTATATTCACCACCAAAGAAATTGATGAGCCAAATGTCTGGATACAAGCAGGAAGGTCCATGGGTGTTGAAAAAACACTAAACTTTATTGAAAAAAAATAGTTTATAAAAGCAAGAAAACAAAACAAAATAAAGTAACACACTAACGCATTTCACCTATTTTACAGACTTTTTCAAAGTGACACAGCCCCGGATTTGAGGACACCCCCCAAGGCGCTGCTCACCTCTTCATGCACAATTTATTTTTTCATATGAATACATTGCTTTTATTGTATAGATTTTTCCAGATTTCTCTTCTGTACTTTGTCACTTACATAAACAATAAACAGTTTTTTTTATAACAATGTAACTTTGTGTGCATGATGAGACTTAGTTTGTTCACAATAAGCTGTTTCCTGATTTAATGTGTATTGTGTCTAGCTAATGGGTTTATATTTAGTCAAGACAGATCCTCACAGCTTTCCTGAGAATTGTTTCTTACCTTGATCTCCTTGTTAAACACATGATGGAGAAAAACAAGCTAACACTTGCTAACACTTGGTTTCTAACGGCTGGTATATTAGAGAAAAATAAACAAACCATGTGTGTTCTGCACTCATATAACTATAAACTCTGAAATTGCCAATTTCACTGATTACCTTCAAGTCATTGTGTAATTGTCTCATTTATTGTAAAAATCCCCCCCTTTCATAATATTATAAAGTGCTGCGGAATTAGTTGGCACTATATAAATATCAATAATAATAACAATAATAATAATTAGTAGATAGTAATTAGAAACGTATCTAGTTATATATGCATTTCATTTGTATGCATCAAAATAAGGAATGTTCAAACTTAACAAAGGCTACAAAGGCTACTAATTTATGAAACAGAATAAAATATTGAGGGTTTTTGAAGAAAACTTTGGGTGCGGCTCAATCATACGATCAAGACAGTTTCAAAAATGTTTGGGTTAACAATCAATTTAAATTCCTATATCCTAAAAATGGACTGAGAGTCCCCAAGAGTTGATGAATTTCAGGTTTTCACAGACTTAATTAAACTTTGCATTTAAACCTGACACGATCTCCTGCAATTTGGGACACTGGCAAGTCGCATTACAACATTACCAGCTATAACCTTCAGATCCACTTCTGGTAAAATCAACTGGTGACCCCAGGTATATATGTGAGGAGGTTTTGGATGGTAATCCATAGTCACTTTTATTATAATTTTCATAGGTTAGATATATGAATTGCATTGTGAGAATATATATCAAAGCACTATCACTTTAATTGTTTAGTTTTGACACTGCATTTTTCTTTAATTGTGTTTATCACATTAATTTTGCATTATAGATATTCACAATGCTCTTACAACAGATTATTTAAATACACTTTAGCTTATTTAGCACTTGCATTATTTAATTTGTCTCCCACATTTGGAGTTAGTGTAGGACCCACCGATATTGGGGTACTGTGGCGTAGTATTGGGCTTAACACAATATGGCCATATGGTACAACTGAATCCCTATATTTGTTTACTGAGAAAGGTGATTTTAAGTAGCATTATAAAATTCAAAAATGTACTTCTATGTGTGCTCTGTTCATTAATCTGTATCTGATAAAATCAATGTGAGTTTCCAATATTAATAATTGTTTCCAATAATAATGTAAATTAATAGTATTTAATGTAAATATGGTTTAGGGAGTGTATCTACAATTACCACTCGAAGATCTATCAGTGGTTCATCATGGAGGCGGCCATCTTGGAATTGTATCACACTTTATAAACTAAAAAAAACGAAACAAAACACAAGGCTGCAGAGATCATGTGATGTCATATTCCGTAACTTGCAGACTAGTTATCAGGGGTAAAGAAGGCTCTGCTCAAACAAGCTTGTGATTCATGCATTTAAAAAAAAAAGTAAACTGCTGGGCAGAACTAAAATGAGAGACTCAAAGTACACACAGTACAAAAATATATGATCGCAGTGAGACTTTTTCCGATTGTACACAAACTTTCACACAGAGTCCTGCTTGAAGAAGTCGCTGGGAAAGTGCAGTAACATAGATGGCTGCTCAGTAAATAGTGAGTTCACCATGGGCTTTATACACTAGAGTCAATAGCTGGAGGTATTCTGTGCTCCTGAGATGCCCTAATTCACACCCCCTACTAATGACTATGTGAGTAGCTTTTCTAAACAGATTCCCCTGCCATCACAAGATTAAAGACACAAGGAGAGGCCCAACGTCTACCTCTGCAGGTACTGTTCATGAAGCTTTGCTAAATGTTTGTTCCCCTGGCTTTGGTGTAAGCTATGGTTACATCAATAATTCATTAATTATGTCCATGAATGGTGCCATGTATCTCTATCTCTATCACTGATTATTCAGCAATATGAGCATTACTGGAAACTGTAGTCCACAACTGCTAGAATGCCAAATATATATATATATATATTACTCTACAACACACACAATGAAGCAGCACACTAGACAAAAATAAATAAATAAATCGAAGGATGCTACCAAAAAGCACTTCCTTAGATACCATGCACAGTAGTATCAATATAGATATAGGCACACATCACTTTAATGTGTGAAAACAAAATATACATTCTACAAATCTACACGGTATACAGGGCCGGTACAAGGATTCTTGCTGCCCTAGGCAACAATTCATTTTGCTGCCCCCTCATGAATGCAACACACACACATACATACACAGTCACTAATAGTCACTAATTGCATACTCTCACTAATACACACACACATAAACCCAGAGTCACTTGCACACTCCGACTAATACACACACGCAGAGTCACTTGCACACTCCTTCTAACAGTGTCACTTTCACACTCTAACAGTGTCACTTGCACACTGTAGCACACTGTAACACACACACCCAGAGTCACTTGCACACTCTTACTAACACACACACACACCCAGAGTCACTTGCACTCTCTCACTAACACACCCACACACCCACCCAGAGTCACTTGCACACTCTCACTAGCACACACACCCAGTCACTTGCACACTCTTACTAATACACACACACACACACACACTCAAAGTCACTTGCACACTCTCAACTAACACAAACACACACATACATACCCAGAGTCACTTGCGCACTCTCTATCTCACATACACACACACACACACACACACACAGAGTCACTTGCACACTCTCACTAACACACACACACATATTCACTTGCACACTTTCACTAGCACACACACACACGGAGTCACTTGCACACTCTCACTAACACACACACATACCCAGAGTCATTTGCACACTCTCACTAACACACACACTGTCACTCAAACACAAACTCACACCACTTTATATAAAGTCACATTTTATTCACACACCAATGTATAAACATGCACACAATAAACAATCTCCCTTAGCCTCCAGTTATGCCATACCTGGGTGCTGTGAAGATAAGAAGAGGTCAAGGCTGCAGGATATTGTTCTTTCTGCTGGGGGAGGAGGAGAGCCGTGCACTGTGAGCACAGGCTGCTTCCGGCTCCCTTCACTGTTCTTCCGGTGTTCACAGGCAGGGGGCAGCTGGGATACCAGGTCATATCCCGGCTTCCCCTGCCTGCAGGAAGCACAGTGCTCTGCTCAGGTGCTGGGGTTACAGCATACCACATTCCCCGAGCAGGTAATCAACTGCAGTGACAGACCAGCAGCTGAATGGCTGCGCTGGGGCTGGCTAAGGAGCCGCTCGCCCGGCACAGCATCCCCAGACAGCAGTAGCAGGGCAGCCCACCAGGAAACCTCTCGGTGGGCGCCCCCCAAAGGCCGGTGCCCCAGGTGAATGCCTTTTTCGCCTAATGGTAGCACTAATGGTAGCACTGGTCCCAATGGTATATAAAACAAAACATAAGAAAAAAATAGATAGTGACAAGGCTTACTCAATAACAAATAATGTGCAAAACATGTATGCATAACATCCTACCACTAATGCCACAAGCAATGTTTATTACTAATTAAAAGTATAACAACAATTTTTAACTGGCTAACAGGTCATGTCATGGCTGAGCAATGCAAATGTCGAATTGAATAAACGGTATCTTGCAAAGCAGTGTGGTTGTTGTAGTTTAATATTAGCTAAGCTATAATGTATCTATTATGGCTGCTAATATAGCTTGTTCTGATGTTCTTAGTCTAGAACAGGGCTGCCCAACAGGTAAATACCCAAATGGCGTAGAACTACAACTCCCTTGATGTTTTGCATGCCTTTAGAATGCATTTAGAATGACAAAGGATCATGGGAGTTGTAGTTCTACAACATCTGGAGATCTACCTGTTGGGCAGCCCTGGTCTAGAATATGGGTGGCCAAAATGTAATCTTAGTACTACTACAGAAATTGCCAAAGCATTAGGGTAATTGTAGTTCTAAAAGAGCTGGAGGGGGTAAAGCTTTACCACCCCTCTTCTAAAATCTACCATTTTCCATCTTCATTTGTGACACTTGGGACTATCCCAAAACGAACGCTCCTTGAAGTGTGTTTTTTAGCTATGATTGTCTGAAAGACGAATAATCACAATACATCATGTTAATATAAGCAGAAGTGGTTTGTTTGATAGATTTTAGTGCATCCTTTTTCTGATATAGGAACGTGCTTTTACCTTGAAATTAAATGGTTTAAAAGAATTGTTCAATGTCTTTATTGATCGATTTCTCAAAGCAGGGATACTTGCTAGATTGATCGATCGATGCTCTTTATAAAAACACTGCAGGCTTTCTCTGCTGTTCATGTAAATGACGTGCTGGCCTCCCACTCATCATCCAGACGGCTATCTCATCGTTAGACGGACTTAACCCTTACAGTGCCAGGTGGGAGTACAGCTCTTTAATTAACATCAAATCATAGCACACCAATGTCATTACGCAAAAGTGTTTATTGATACAATGTTATTATGTGATAAGACCATAATAAGCAATGACATATTCAGCTATACAATATAAACAGATGTAAACTAAGCAAACGGTACATAAACTATAAACCCACCAATATCACCATTGATATTAAGAGTTTATAAGTATGTACGGGCAGCACTCCTTCCTGTCTCAACAGAGAAATTTGCCTTCTAGCTAATATCGGCAAGGTAATTTGTATGTTATGTGTTATAGCCCTATTTATGGTTAATAAGTATGTAGCAGTTTATAAAACACCCCTTCATGTCTCATTAGAGGTGTTTACCTTTGTCTGATACCAGTAAACTGTATTGTATGTGTAGAAGCCCTATAAAGGGTTAAATGTGAAAGGGTTTTTAAAATACCCCTCCCTGTCTTACTGGAGATTCTTGGCTGGTATCAGCAAATCTCATGGCAAGTGTAGGATTTACCTTTTGAGGCTTGCCTTGACATGGCAGATGAGCTTATATTCAAATGGCCATTGAAATGAAACTAAACAGCCTCCATTTTGTTCAAATGTACATAGGGATTTGGGCCAGAATGCAGGTAACTTTCTCTTTGTTTTTACTATGGGTCATATAACCACAATATGTAAGATAGTTAATAAGTAAAAAAGGCATAGCTCCATGTAGTTACAAAGTCTTACCAAACTACACAAAAGTAACCCATATGATGCTTTGGGCTACTAAGGTTATGCCACGGTATACTGATATTCTTTTACGTACACAACAATAAAAGCACATATATATTGCCATACTACATATACAAAATATAGACAGATATAACCCAGTGTTATACAAAGAAAAATGTCATAGATATAATATCACCTTGTGATGTATTGGGAAAACCAGACATTAAAAGACAAACTACATAGGGTCAAGAAAAAAAAAACCATCCTATTAATTAAATATATACATGAAGTTACTACACATCCTAATATATCTGGTGAGTGCCCCAGTGGTGTATTTTGGATTTGTGCTGCCCTAGGCACGACTAAATTTGGGCACCCCCAAAATCTAACTTTGCCCCCCCCCCCAATTCGTGTCAAGGCCATTTTTTTGACTGACAGACACATGCCCTCATTGATACATGCACTGATATATACTCAGTGACAGATACACAGTCATTGGCACACAAATACAGTCATTGGCACACACTGTTTAACCAACACACACTTTCATTGACAGACACACACTGACACACCCACTCACTGAGAGGCACACACTCTCAGATACACAGAAAATGACATACACACACTGACACACATTCACAGGCACACCCATTCTCACTCACAGACACACACTGACAGCTACACTTACTCACAGTAAGGTGGACAGCCCCAGAACATGAGGCAAACAAGGCATTTGTCTGGGAGCTTGGGGTGGCAAATGCCTGGTTTGCCTTGTGGTAAATACATCCCTGGCGTGCCCTCTATTATCCTCCAAAATAGCTCCATTGATGTTTTTTCACTAATGTCACTAGACGCATCAATCATAGAGATATCTATAAGGTAGACAGTCAGGGTATCGAGGGATGATAGCAGGAGTGGATTTATAGCTGAGTACAAATAGACAAGAATTGATGACACCATAACCTATGCAGGAATCATAGAATATTGTGTTTGGAGTGCCCCCTTAAGCATGCCCCACATGTCTCCTCCAGATGTACCGTGCTCCGATTGATGTGATGCCTAAAGCATGGAGCAATGGTTTGATTAATCCACTATCAGTGTTTTCCCAATGATGGATGGGTTCGGCATAAACCCATGTGGGCACTGTCTGTTCCGAACAGCATGGAAGCCTGTAACAAAGACTAAGGGACTGCATTATCAAAGAAAGAAGCCGGGCAAGTCGTTTATAGCATTTGATAATTAGGTTATTATAAGCTGAAGGAGTGGAGGTAGGACAATAGGCAGAGTATGGATGATTGAATGGGGCACTGGTGGAGGTTGGTAAATCCCTGCAGAGATATTTTGAGGATCTATTTGACCTTTATCTTTCCTCCTTCCTTTACACAATGCTGTTTTATCCATAGACACACGTTGTTCTATCCCTAGCGATGCAGATTTTATCCCCTGTAGGTATATTGCCGAACGCTGGGGCCATCTTTTTTTATTCAATGTGGTCAGCGTTGTGTGTAGCCAAATTCATGGAACTGAAATCGGCTACACAGTTCCGCGAACACTGCTGAGCCTTACCTTCTCCCACAATGATTTTGCAGCCGCAGAGACTAAGTCCCATTCGGCGGTGGGACTTAGTCGTTTTTTCAGCCTGAAATAGACCGACCGCACAGCCCAAATCTATTTTGGGCATGAAAATGTGCTTGCGGTCAGTCAAAAAGGGACTTCCAGCTAACTTTTTAACCCCTGGATGGAATTGGCTGAATTTTGGATATGTTTATAGTTAAAGTGTGCTGAGTTCGAATATGTAATTTATATGTTTGTGGCATGTATATTTTTGAAGTTATTACTATTTTGTAAAAACTGTATTTCTCTGCCTGTGATAATTATATTAACCATTGTGTTCAGTAATCATATCACAGGCAGAGGGGAGGATTTTGTGTGGGAGTGTCTGTGTGTATTGTACGGATTGATTGGCTGTATTTCAAAACCTTGTGGGCAGTACTATGTTTGTGAATTGTGAATAAAAGAGGTTGTATGTGCCAGCACCTCAATCTGAGTCCTGTCTCTTATTGGGGGAATCTGCTACAAGGGATTGCTATGCTCTGCATATTCCCTTGCTATAATCTCAAGAGCTTGTTCCTGTCTTGCTCTCTGAAGGAGTCTACGGTGGTTATAGTGTCGGTTGGAGTGCTTGGAGCCCTCAGGAAGCGCTAGGAGCATCCTTCAACAGTCAGTTGGGGTGCCAGGTGATCCGTTACACACAGCCTATATTGTATCTTATTCTTAAGGTGTCTCTATCACCTCTGATCCCTTTATGAGTTTTTCTTATCAATCTGTATCAAATACGCATTTTGACTACAATGGAATTTTAATGAAATTCCAACTCAATCAAAAGATATGGTCTACTTTGTCTTTTTGGCAAAGTCTAGTTTGAAAAATGTAAACAAAAAGTGATGTTTCTGTCATTAAATTTTGTCAATTACCACAACCATCGTTAGCGTTGGCTGTGAGAGACAGGCATCTTCTAATTCACAGTGAAAATTGGGCTACAGAGGATGCCGCAGTCTTCTGGGACCTTCATAGACCACATTGTATTCTTGCATATGCACAAGAGAACAGCAGTGACACAGGCTCCTAGTGGATGAAGTGCCAGGATTTAAAGAAAAAGATGGTGTGGCCCATGAAGGAGAGCTTTAGGTAAGTATATCTAAGCTTAGGTTCACCCCCATCCTACTGCGCCAAAAAAAGAAATGTCACCTTCAAAAACACTTAAAAAAGTGACAGCCATTTTAAAATTAGTTAGCAAAACCCAAAATGAGAAAAAAACAAGCTTTCTTTTGGCTGTATATACTGCACTCATTTAACCTGCCTTAAAAAAATGCTATGTTTGTAGGTTTATTCTCTTAAACATAGTGTTTATGGTAAATAGCCCAATTTATATTCCCTGCAAGCATCTGTAATTTATAGCATTAGAAATATAATGAGCTAGCACTTTCCACTCGATAAGCAGAGTAATACAGGTATTTTTCACAGAGGTGTAATTATACTAGTGTACATGCTTTTACTTCCTTAGCAAGTGGGTTTATTATATGTGTTTATAAACATTTATAATTTAGTGGCATACTGATTGCACGCTACTGTGGAGGCCTAGCATACATCGTGTACAGTTAGTAAAAGAAATTTGCAGCGGTATATAGAGTATAAAGAGTAGTTTATAACAAAATTATGTAAGAAAAACAAAAAGCTGTCTCCATTGCAGGAAAACAACTGTTATAAAAACAGGTTTAAAAGTGAAGGATCACGGAGAATAATTTTCAGTTTATTATTTTCTTTCCTGTAGAACTTTTTATATTTTTACACGGTACGATGTTACATAGTTACATAGTTACATAGTTACATAGTTACATAGCTGAAAAGAGACTTGCGTCCATCAAGTTCAGCCTTCCTCACATTTGTTTTTTGCTGTTGATCCAAAAGAAGGCAAAAAAACCCAGTTTGAAGCACAATTTTGCAACAAGCTAGGAAAAAAATTCCTTCTTGACCCCAGAATGGCAGTCAGATTTATCCTTGGATCAAGCAGTTATTACCCTACATTGAAAGATTATATCCTTGAATATTCTGTTCTTGCAAGTATGCATCTAGTAGCCGTTTGAACATCTGTATGGACTCTGATAAAACCACTTCCTCAGGCAGAGAATTCCACATCCTGATTGTTCTTACAGTAAAAAAACCTTTCCTTTGCCTTAGACGAAATCTTCTTTCTTCCAGTCTAAACGCATGGCCTCGTGTCCTATGTAAAGTCCGGTTTGTGAATAGATTTCCACACAATGGTTTGTATTGGCCCCGAATATATTTGTATAATGTTATCATATCCCCTCTCAGGCGACGTTTTTCTAAACTAAATAGGTTTAAATTTGTTAACCTTTCTTCATAGCCGATATGTTCCATTCCTTTTATTAATTTTGTAGCCCGCCTCTGCACTTTTTCTAGTGCCATAATATCCTTCTTTAGAACAGGTGCCCAAAATTGCACAGCATATTCAATATGGGGTCTTACCAGTGATTTATAAAGAGGCAAAATTATATTCTTGTCCCGAGAATGAATGCCCTTTTTCATGCATGACAATACCTTACTGGCCTTGGCCACTGCTGATTGACATTGCACATTGTTGCATAGTTTGTTGTCTATAACAATTCCCAAGTCCTTTTCATGTGTTGTTATCCCTAATTCGCTTCCATTAAGGGTATACGTTGCTTGTGTATTCTTTACGCCGAAGTGCATAACTTTGCATTTTTCAACATTAAATTTCATCTGCCATTTGAGTGCCCAGTCCCCAGTCTATCTAAATCCCTCTGCAGCAAAGTAATATCTTGCTCACATTGTATTATTTTACAAAGTTTTGTGTCATCTGCAAACACTGAAACATGACTTTCAATGCCATCTTCAAGATCATTTATAAACATGTTAAATAGAAGGGGTCCCAGAACAGACCCCTGAGGGACACCACTTGCCACCTCTGTCCAGCTTGAAAATTTACCATTAATGACAACTCTTTGTACTCTGTTTTTAAGCCAATGTTCTACCCAAGAACAAGCATTTTCATCTAGACCGATTTCCTTGAGTTTGAACACTAATCTATTGTGTGGAACTGTATCAAATGCCTTGGCAAAATCCAAATAGATCACATCCACGGCAACACCCTGATCTATACTTCTACTTACTTCTTCGTAGAACGCAATCAAGTTAGTTTGACATGACCTGTGCTTCATAAAACCATGCTGATTTTTGCTGATAACCATGTTCTTCTCAAGGAATTCTTGAATATTATCCCTTAATAAACTTTCAAATATTTTACCAGGCACAGAAGTTAAGCTCACAGGTCTATAATTTCCAGGCAAGGATTTTGAACCCTTTTTGAATATAGGAACCACATCTGCCTTCCTCCAATCCTCCGGAACACTTCCTGAAAGAAAAGAATCTTGAAAGATTAAAAACAGAGGTTCACTTATTTCTGCACTTAGTTCCTTAAGTACACGTGGATGGATACCGTCAGGCCCTGGAGCTTTGTTTATATTAACTTTCTTTAGTTGCTGCAGCACCTTGTCTTGAGTTAACCAATTACAATTATTCTGCAAGTTTTTAGTAGCAATCATTTGCACATCTATTGCCATGGGTTCTTCCTTAATATATACGGAGGAGAAAAAGTTATTTAAAATTCCTGCCTTTTCCTGGTCTTCATTAATTAACACCCCCTTTTCAGTTTTTAGTGTACCTACACTTTCATTTTGGGGTTTTTTAGAATTTATGTACTTAAAAAATGCTTTGGGGTTGGTTTTGCTCTCTTCAGCTATCATTATTTCATTTTGAAGTTTAGCAAGTCTAATTGCCTTTTTGCACGCATTATTTGCATCCTTATATCTTTTATAAGATGCATCTGATTTGTCCGATTTAAATGCTTTAAATGCCCTTCTCTTAGTTGTAATCTCTTGTTTTACTTCTCTACTAAGCCATGTTGGTTTTAATTTGTTTCTTTTATATTTATTTCCCAATGGTACATACTGAGAAATGTACCTTTGTAATATTTGTTGGAAGATGATCCATTTATCATCAGTGTTCTTTTCACTAAAGAGTTTATGCCAGTCAATATATTGTAAAGCTTCCCTTAACTTATTGAAATTGGCCTTTTTAAAATTATATGTTTTAGTATACCCCATGTGCTTTTGTTTTTTTGAGTTTATTTCAAAGGACACTATATTGTGATCACTATTTCCCAAGTGCTCACCTACTTGAATGTTGGTCAAAAGATCAACGTTGTTTGTTAAAACCAGGTCCAGACAAGCATCCATTCTAGTTGGTGCTTGTACAAGTTGTGACATGAAGGTGTCATTTGATATAGTGTTTATTACCAAACCAAAATGATAAGGAGAAAATATATTAAATAATATAGATACAACCACAGGTCAGTACATCGTTAAAATGAAGACAAGTCTATCGCGCATTATATTTTTCACAATTTATGTAAATGTTATTAAAGACGTATTGTTGGTCATCAGTGAGACTGTATCACTTCTATAGTCATAGCTGTAAAGCCTTATCAACATCTAGCTTTTTTAAGAGGTTTAAGATTCCATTGACTGATAAGTAGGGTTCCAAATAGCCGCCATTGTACCACGCTCACAGTTCACTTCTGGGCATATTCCCAAAATACCCTGTTTGCTCTGATATTACAGTCAGGTTATATTTTTGCCTTTCCTTTCTAATTCCAAAAGTACTGTTGCACTCAGGGAAACATATAGAGTCTGCTACCACACCTGGAGCACCATGGAACAGATCCACAATTCTTTAGAAGTATTTAAAATCTATCTTTCTTTTCTTTTCCATTCTTTCACCAGATTATATCGTCGTTCGTACTCTATTCTCTTTCACCCTTCAACTATTTTATATCTGTTTGGTTCTCTTCCACTCTTCGACTAGATTATATCTTGAATTAGAACTGGCTTTAGATACGGCAGAGAAGGAACAAAAGTTGCATGTTGCAGTTGCAGTTGTTGTTACCACACTGGATGGGAAAAACCTATCATTACCAATAATTACGGTATGTGCTTTTACTTATTTTTTTTAGAGAACCAAATTATTAAAGGTGGATCCCTTTTATTTCAATAACAACTGGAATTGAAGTTGTGAACCTTTTGTGCAACCTTGATCAGTCCGGGCTGATTTCCATTTGAGAATCACTGGATAAAAAGCCAAAGAAGACAAAGACAGCTTGGATCCAGCCAAGATGAACCTTAAGCTTATGGAAAGATTCCTGGCCGAAGCTTATAACTGTAGCCAATCAGATAGTTCAGTTGATTAATCCACTAATTATTATATGCCAGGTCAAATAAGAAAAAAACATCAGAGTCTCCGACCTAAAAAAACCCAACTTGTTAATATAACAATTATTATTGATATTATTCTCTACACAAGTTCATGCAGCAGTTTAGTTAACTTGGCAGGATCTTTGTGCAACTTGGTCCTAAGTGAATGTGCCAAGTTGTATCTGCTGAGCTTTGCATGATTCAGCTGAACTATCCTGAGTTTTTGCCAGCTAACTTGGCAGTTGCTTAGAAAATCAAGGAGGTATTATGGTATTTGTCAGTATTTATTAATAGTCACAAGCACAATTCTTACACAAATGAGATTTAATAGGTGTGCATGAAACCGATGGGTTTAATTCAAAGAACAGTTTGTGGTGGTGAGGTGACAAATGTTTAAATATTAAGAAAGCCTTTTCCAAGTTAATAAACTGGCATTTAAACGTATGACCCCAACAAGGATATCTGTGGCTTTATAGGTGTCCTTTCCATGCATCGCCCATCGTACAGCGCTATGGAATTTACTGGCACTATATAAATAATAAAATAATAAAATAATAAAATAATAATTGTGAGGCCCATACTAAGCCTTGTATTAGATCTGTGTTTGCAGCTGCATGTCAATCATTTATTTCAGATCCAGCGTACCAGGACATTGTGGTGTATCATGCTTTAAAAGAACAGACAAGAAAATCCTCTAAAACCCACTCAAGATATAATGTGAAAATCATCATCGAATGTACTAACGTAGGTAGAGGAGGATTAAGATCTTACAGAGACCTAGGAAGTTTAGGTACTGGTTGGGGCCTCACCTTCATTCGTCACTCAGGCATGGTAAGTTAGGCCATGTAAATTCATGGTTCCTGCCTAACCTCTGAGCCCTAGGCAGCCACCTAAGATCACCACGTGGTTAATCCAGCTCACAATGCAGGCACATGCTAGAGTGCTTTGCACATGCACAAGAACTTGCCCAGCTGCCCAGGATACATGCCCCTCATATGCTGGTTTACCGCTTCTCAACTTTGGAACGAAGGACACTAACACAGCTCACTGTCAATAGACTAGGAGACAGGAACATTTGTTTTGGAAGAATATTTTCTTCCACCATATGGCAATTCAGCTCGGCAGAATTTCAGTAATGAGAACCTAATTTGGGAAACAAATCAGATCAACCAAGGGCAGAAAAATGGGCAAATTATTGTTTTACAAAATATATGCATAATATAAATATAGATGTATTTATTTTTATTGCTCTTCCTTTTTTTTCTGTTGGTCACTTCTCACATTATCTGTGAATAAAGTCTACATTTAGTGACTGTCTCCTAAACATCAGTCATCTAATTTGCACCATGGGTGAACTTCAAAATAGCGGACATGCTCTGTCATAGCGTGTCACTTTTAGTCTAAGTCTAGCTGTCAGTGGTACTCTGGTTTTCAACCTTAAAGGACCACTCTAGGCACCCAGACCACTTCAGCTTAATGAAGTGGTCTGGGTGCCAGGTCCAGCTGGGGTTAACCCATTGTTTTATAAACATAGCAGTTTCAGAGAAACTGCTATGTTTATCAATGGGTTAAGCCTTCCCCCAAATCCTCTCATTGACAGCCGCTAGAGGCGCATGCGTGATTCTCACTGTGAAAATCACAGTGAGAGCACGCAAGCGTCCATAAGAAAGCATTGATAATGCTTTCCTATGCGACTGGCTGAATGCGCGCGCAGCTCTTGCCGCGCGTGCGCATTCAGCCGACGGGGCAGAATGGAGGAGGATCGGAGGCAGAGAGCTCTCCGCCCAGCACTGGAAAAAGGTAAGTTTTACCCCTTTTCCCCTTTCCAGAGCCGGGTGGGAGGGGGTCCCTGAGGGTGGGGGCACCCTCAGGGCACTATAGTGCCAGGAAAACAAGTATGTTTTCCTGGCACTATAGTGGTCCTTTAAGTTGGATAATATGTCACATTCTGGGGAGGCCTGGTTCAATCCTGCTTATAGCAATTAGCAATAGCTTAAACATCTGTTTTCCCTTTTGAATAGAAGAGGTGTTCTCCATCAGGAAATATATTTGACTATAAGACTATCCTTATCATGAGCTGTAACAACCCAGACACAGTTTTTAGGTAGGACCTACATCACAGATTGCAGAGGGAACCTATGATTGCATAGGGCCCCAGAACATACATTACATTCATAGTCCCATCATTTGTTTCACTTAAGTAGAGAGACTGGTTTTCCAATATCCTCTACACTATAAATAATGCATTATCTAGCAGAGGAAAAAAAATCTACGTTCTCTCTTAAACTGTCCACAAAATCTTTGACAAAAAAACAAACAAAAGAATGTATCCAGCTGCTTACAAAATAAGTGATGGGAGTTGTATTCCACTACACTGTATTCTCCTTACAGTAAAGTTCAGTGATATCTAATCTTCAGAAAGCCATCAAGTAGTTGAGATTCCATTACACCCAGCCATTCAAATGGATGACTTGCTGTTTTGGACTATAAAGTCACTTAGACTCAGAGAGTCATTTTAGCCATCATTGGAACAGTTAATGGAAAATGTCATAATGTAATATCATTCTATTCAAATTTCCATCTAATTTTGCAGATTTTTATCTCTCTTGCTTAAAGCGTTTACTACCACGGGGGAGTGCATATCATTAAGTCTAATACATTTCTATACTTTGTGCATTTTTTTTTTTTTTTGCAGAAAACTTGGCTAGGTTTTGTACTTATTTATGAACAGAATTTTACAACTTGAAGCCAGGAGAATTTATTTAGCACTTTTATAGAGTAAGACCTTTTTGCATAACTTACACAAACAAAATAAGCTTTCGGTTTCCCTGTTGCACTGAGAATTAGGGACGAATGGATTAACGAGAGCAATGATTTTTGCTGCTTCCCTCTATGAAGCTCTGACATTAAGAAGGCTGAATGTCATCTGAACATTTTTAGAGGTTTGTAAAACATACTAGAATCTGGAGAACCCATTCATTATGCTGTCAGCCTTACAAGTTAAGGTATACATCCTGTCTGTGTGCAAACTTTATCAAGGGCCATTATACTTGGAAACAAACAGACCTTTTTCAGAATATTAATTCTTCAACATCGTATTGTTTTTAATCTGTGCTGTTACAGTTATGGTAACAAAACCTATTAATATTAGCCTTGATTTGACCCCCATGAAAATATTTAATAGGAATCCTTAGAATACTGTGCAATTTGCTGCATTGGTCTGAGTTTTTTTCTGAAATTCCCAGGGCTCGTACGTGAGATCAGGATTCATAAACATTGCAAGCTCTTGTTACCTATATGGTCTTTGGTCAGATAAATGGTGCTTCTGATCAATGAGGTCTTAAAGAGGGCTACTTCCATTGAGTAAACTTATACACAGGGGTTTACTCACTAAACTCTACATTGTAGCGATTTAAAATCAGAATGGCAAAATTAAGGCTGACATATCTGCTTTGGGGTAATTCTCCAACTCAGCTTTCGTCACTGCTTGGTAAGTAAATAAACCCCAGAAATAAACTATAACATCTCTTATCACAATAATAATGAAAAAAAAAAAAAAGCCCAACATGCAATAGCTGGTGCTCTGAAGGCAAGAGAAGAACGTCAAATCAGGTTCTTCTATTCCAGGACAAATGCGATCTGTAAGATGATAGTATGGATAGCAGTCTGAAGTATCATCAAAATATTTTCAGAAATGTATCAGATTGACAGGCAAGGCTACCCACAAAACAGAGTGTCGCTTAAGTGCTCCTGTCTGGGTAGCAATGTCTTGGCATAGCCAGTTTTGAGCATCTTTGAAAGCGAACTGACGTGGTTTATAGGTACTTGTTTCTGGTATGAAGCTCTGGGGAAAAAAATCTTAACAGGAGAGAAAGGTTCCAAATTAAAACTCTGACGCAGTTGGGAGTGCTCGGTAATAGTAACAGAAACCTGCAAAGTTGCAATCTGAATGAGAGTGGACACATTAGATGTACTGACACCTAGGCCTCAGTTTAATATTTTTGCAAAAGTTTTTCAAATGATTTAATACTTTTACACAAATTTTTAAAGTTATTTTTTAAAATATTAAAAATCATATGTCATATATACAAACAGAATAAATATATAGGAGGGTGGAGCATAGGGACGAAGGATTGCTGAGTGACCATTTTGTGTTAGGAATAGATCTTAACACTAAAGTTTTCCTATAAACAATGTAGATCAGGGGTAGTCAACCTTTTAATAACTACTGCCCACTTTTGTATCTTTGTTAATGGTAAAATTCCCTTACCGCCTACCAGTGCCACAGTAACTAATTTTATAGCACAAGCCTGATTTGTTTTAAATTTATTGTTTTTAGAAAGGACGTTGTTTTTTTTTAGCAGTGTGTGTGTGATGGGTGCAGTGTAGGATAGTTTATGTGGGGTAGAGTGACTGAGAGGTGTAGTGTGTGTCAGGGGGGCGCAGTGTGTGTGAGGGTTGCAGAGTGTGTTTGTGAGGGGGCAGTCTGTGTGATGCGGAGGTTGTGTGTGTGTGAGGGGTATAGTGTGTGTGAAAAGTGCATAGGGTCTATGATGTGTGTAGGTGGGTGAGATGTAAAAATCTATCTTAATGTCTCTCCCTCCCTTCTTCTTACCTTTGTCAAGGTGGGGGACATAATGCTGCAAGCCCTGGTGGTCAAGTGGTGGCATGTTTAGTTTAGCCTGCAGCTCCTCCGGCTGTAGGCTGACTCTCCTGTCCTCCTGTGAGCACAGCACTGTACCAGAGCATTGCCATGGTAACGCGCAGCAATACTCCGACCAGCCTGCTTGTGGGAGGAACACAGAGCCTCCCAGGTCTTTCCATCCCTCTGCTGGAATGAAGTGCCGGCGGGCTAGTGAGAGAGATCATTGATCTCCTCACCAGTCCGAGAGGGCTTACAGCAAGTCTGGCTCTGCATCTTTCCTGCCACCCTTGGCCCACAGCCATCAAGGCCCAGTGGGCATCTTCCACAGAATCCACCACCTCCCACCTTAAATCCCAAATCACCCACTAGTGGGCGGTAGGGACAAGGTTGACTACCCCTGCTGTACATTATTGTTAGCTGTTTTGCTGAAGAGCTCCTCACATAACGGCTAAAATGCCTGTGGAGCTCTTTGATACACTCACCAACATACTGAACATTACTGAAACTTCATATTGAATTTAAAATTTAAGGCCAAATTAGTTGAACCAGAAGCAGAGCTGACAGAGATTTTTACTCAGATCGACTATTTTTACCTCAAATTCTTACTTTAGTTAATGACCCTGTGTGAGTGTTAGTGCTGGGGAGCTCTGTGATACACTCATACACATCACACTTTTATTAAACTGTTCAAGTGATTACAAAAAGGCCTACAGGATTTTGTTTCCCTTCCATGTTTCAGTTCCTTCATGTGTATCCATAAAGGGGGACAGGGGTGCATTGTGAAAACTGGCCTTGGGGCAGCACAGAGAGTTAATCCGTCCCTGATAATAATGTCAAAGTTTTTAACCAAGGAAAGTACATTTAACTTTTCTAGAGTCTCTGAGTTATTATTTCCCAAATTAATGATGCCCATTTCATCAACTTTGAAAGGATGAGATGAGACAAGCTTGTAAACCTGAGACACTATGGTGTCCTAACAAATTATCAGGGAGAGAATGTGGAAATTTAAAGGAAAACTATAGTGGCACTATGGCTCCCTATAGTGCCCCCTATGTGAACTTCTCACCTCCCCTCCTACCCTCACCCATCATGCAGAAGGGGTTAAAAAACCCTACTGTCACTTACCTGAGTCCAGCACTGATGTCCATCTGCGCTGGCTCAGGCTCCATCTCCGCAATGGCTGCACTCACATTAGTATTTCCCCATAGGAAAGCATTATACAATTCTCTCTTATGGTGTTTTGGGTGACGCTGGATGTCCTCATGCATTGTGTGAGGACATCCAGCGTCAGTTAGGCGCCAAAAAGTCGCCTAGCGACCCAGACGTCCCTCTAGTGGTACACCCATAAAGGTAATTATTGCAAGTTATTAAAATTATTGCTGGTTATGTAATGCTAAAGCATCTTTTACAATGACAGACGTATCACATATTAAGACCTCAATTTAATATTGTTGTATAAGCTTTTCAAATGATTTGATATTTTTGGATACACTTTTCAAATTATTTTTTTATAGCATACTAAAAATCATAAAAATCTATATTGTATTAAAAAATATCAAATAAATATGTAAATATCACACATGTAAAATATTTTCATAATATTAAATTATTTTAAAAAGTGTTTAAAAAAATTAAATCGAGGTCTAAGTAACATTTGACTTTTAAAAAATATTTCTGAAAAGATGCAGAATTGGCTGTTAGGTTCTGCTAGTTTCACCTACTTAGCAACTTGATTATCTCACAAAACGCCCTTGACATTTTTCTTCGCAATAAAAAGAAGCACAACTAAACAACTCCAATTTTAATCATTTTTTATTTTTCCTTAGAGATAAATGATGATCAATAATCTTGTGAGATACACGTGATGTTATCGTCTTCAGGGTATAGTAAAGAGTGAAAGAACGTATTATGTTGCTTTTGTATGATGAGCAATTGCTAAAACGAAGAACTTTGAGTATTCTTTGGTTACAAAAATGTTCAAAATCGGGACAAGACCAGCCAACTCTCAACTTTTCATCCTACTGTCTGTGCAAATTATAACAACCTCAACCATTTAATATTACAGGAAAACAGTGAATTGAGACAAAATATTTCCCAACAGGTAACGTGACTTTGCAAATCACTTCATTTGTCAAGGCATCAATCTAATTGGTGAAGAGTTGTGCTATGGGGGAATGTAACAAAGTTCTTTGTGGTAAAGCTTGTATTCTGTAGGATAGATGGTCCAGGATCATGTCCTTCCCTTGATACATTTGGTAAAGAGGAGTTCAACACCTATGATGTTTTTTGAACCATAAGGCTAGCAAAGCATCATGGGAGCTGTATTTGCATTAGCTGGTGAATGATCTACGTTTTGCCCAATCCTAGAGCATACCTCCCAACATTTCGAATGGACAAACATGGACGCTTTAATTTTAGGGGTGTGAATGTGGGTGTGGCCAGGGGTTGGGCTGTTCTGAGAAATGTATATGATTTACTAATAATTTCTAAATGTAAATTAGAACAAATGTAAATTATTTACACAGACTGCATTCTAAACACATTTATTGTAATGTAAATACACATTACAGGGAGTATTATTGCTGCGGAGCTCTGTTATACACTCAGACACATTACAGGGAGTATTATTGCTAGGGAGCTCTGTTATACACTCAGACACATTACTGGGAGTATTATTGCTGTGGAGCTCTGTTATACACTCAGACACATTACTGGGAGTATTATTGCTGCGGAGCTCTGTTATACACGCAGACACATTACAGGGAGTATTATTGCTAGGGAGCTCTGTTATACACTCAGTCACATTACTGGGAGTATTATTACTGTGGAGCTCTGTTATACACTCAGACACATTATTGGGACTATTATTGCTGTGGAGCTCTGTTATACACTCAGTCACATTACTGGGAGTATTATTACTGTGGAGCTCTGTTATACACTCAGACACATTACTGGGAGTATTATTGCTGTGGGGCTCTGTTATACACTCAGACACATTATTGGGACTATTATTGCTGTGGAGCTCTGTTATACACTCAGACACATTACTGGGAGTATTATTACTGTGGAGCTCTGTGATACACTCAGACACATTACTGGGAGTATTATTACTGTGGAGCTGTTATACACTCAGACACATTACTGGGAGAATTATTGCTGTGGAGCTCTGTGATACACTCAGACACATTACTGGGAGTATTATTACTGTGGAGCTGTTATACACTCAGACACATTACTGGGAGTATTATTGCTGTGGAGCTCAGTTATACACTCAGACACATTACTGGGAGTATTATTGCTGTGGAGCTCTGTTATACACTCAGACACATTATTGGGAGTATTATTGCTGTGGAGCTCTGTTATACACTCAGACACATTACTGGGAGTATTATTGCTGTGGAGCTCTGTTATACACTCAGACACATTACTGGGAGTATTATTGCTGTGGAGCTCTGTTATACACTCAGACACATTACTGGGAATATTATTGCTGTGGAGCTCTGTTATACACTCAGACACATTACTGGGAGTATTATTGCTGTGGAGCTCTATTATACACTCAGACACATTACTGGGAGTATTATTGCTGTGGAGCTCTGTTATACACTCAGACACATTACTGGGAGTATTATTGCTGTGGAGCTCTGTTATACACTCAGACACATTACTGGGAGTATTATTGCTGTGGAGCTCTGTTATACACTCAGACACATTACTGGGAGTATTATTGCTGTGGAGCTCTGTTATACACTCAGACACATTACTGGGAAGTATTATTGCTGTGGAGCTCTGTTATACACTCAGACACATTACTGGGAGTATTATTGCTGTGGAGCTCTGTTATACACTCAGACACATTACTGGGAGTATTATTGCTGTGGAGCTCTGTTATACACTCAGACACATTACTGGGAGTATTATTGCTGTGGAGCTCTGTTATACACTCAGACACATTACTGGGAGTATTATTGCTGTGGAGCTCTGTTATACACTCAGACACATTACTGGGAGTATTATTGCTGTGGAGCTCTGTTATACACCCAGACATACCAACAATATGGAGCTCCTAGAAAAGAGGGACATTAGGAGAGAAAAGAGGGACAGAAGGATTTGGGCCTAAATAGGGACTGCCCCCCTTAAATAGGTACACTTGGGAGGTGTACTGGAGTACAGCACTGCATCATATATTCCAGTTTGCTTAACATCCTTTCTATTACTTAGAATTGTAAACGCAGAGTTGAACTTGTAATTGCTGAGTAAGGCCCCTGGGTCCCTGCCTTGAATCAGTGCAATATTCCTGTGAAATTATTCCCAACATGAGTAATGGATTCTGTAACCAACAGCTACTTCATAACGAGTACAGCATTTCTTATTCATTGATTACCTGAGCGAACATTATATGTTATTGGTGCCTATTACCATTTCCCCTTGATAAATAAATGGTCCTGTTCGTTATATACACTTTTTTCCCTCATATTTCTTGCAGCTATAATTAAGCAGATGAGACCTGTTTTTTGTATCAAGCAGAGCTTGAGAACTTGCTCGGAATCATGCTGTATCTGTTGTAACTCATAGGAATCCCCGTAGTGAGAGATCACAGAACAAGAGGCTGACGGGGTACTTCTATGGAGTCTTTATTAGATTTTCTGTCCAAATCAGGAAGTGCCTCTCCAATATTGTATCTGCTAAATTCATATGTTTTATATTAATGTTTAATTAGATGTGCCTATAGAATGATACAGCCAATTATTTAGAGAGGAAATAAAGATTAAAGGGACACTCCAGGCACCCATACCCCTTCTGCCCATTGGAGTGGTCTGGGTGCCAACTCCCACTACCCTTAACCCTGCAAGTGTAATTATTGCAGTTTTCTTAAACTGCAATAATTACCTTGCAGGGTTAACTCCTCCTCTAGTAGCTGTCTACTAGACAGCCACTAGAGGACACTTCCTGGTCTATAGACAGGTTTTCTGTGCTATAGCGTCGCTGGACGTCCTCACGCTGTGTGAGGACCTCCAGCGTCACTAAAATCCCCATAGGAAAGCATTGAAAAGCATTTGCAATGTTTTCCTATGGAGAGGATCCAATGCGCTGCGTGGCATTGCCGCGTGGCATTGCGCATTAGGTCTCCCCCGCCGGCGGGCGGGATTAGTATACCCCGCCGGCTGACGTGGTGACGGGGAGGAGCGTGGGCGGAGGAAGAAGCAGCGACGAGGGACATCGTCATTGCCTCTGGTAAGACACTGAAGGGGCTCCACATTAATTTATAAGCTACTATCTATAAAATATCATTTTAGTAGTTGTTTGTCTCTATTGTTAAAATTAGTGTAGGGGCACTTTTGTTTCTGTCTATGCAGCCCCAGCTACACCTCCCCTGTGTGTGCATAAAAATAAAATGGTTTTATCAGATGTTAGGTTTCTTTAGAAGTTTTTATCTCCTACTCTGTAAAACGTTAATCACACACAGGAGGCTACTGCAAGGTCTAGCAGGCTATTAACAGAGCTGGAGATAAGAAATTCTAAATTAAACAGACTGGGCAATAAAGGATGCTTAAACATTAGATGACTCTTTACAGTAAGTGTTTAGGAAGGCTGTGTAAGTCACATGCAGGGAGCTGTGACAATGGCTGCATAAACCCAGTGATTTAACTGCTTCATTAAGCTAAACTTGTTTGGTGACTATAGTGTACCTTTAAAGTTAAAGGACCACTATAGTGCCAGGAAAACATACTCGTTTTCCTGGCACTATAGTGCCCTGAGGGTGCCCCCACCCTCAGGGTCCTCCTCCCGCCCGGCTCTGGAAGGGGGAAAGGGGTAAAAACTTACCTTTTTCCAGTGCTGGGCGGAGAGCTCTCCTCCTTCTCTCCTCCTCCGGACGCTTTCCTATGGACGCTTGCGTGCTCTCACTGTGAAAATCACAGTGAGAAGCATGCAAGCGCCTCTAGTGGCTGTCAATGAGACAGCCACTAGAGGCTTTGGGGGAAGGCTTAACCCATTAATAAACATAGCAGTTTCTCTGAAACTGCTATGTTTATAAAAAAAATGGGTTAACCCTAGAAGGACCTGGCACCAAGACCACTTCATTAAGCTGAAGTGGTCTGGGTGCCTAGAGTGGTCCTTTAAACTCTCTTCCCCATAGATACATTGCATTTGAACATTTTCTAATATAGTTATCTCTAATTACAATAGTATATTTTTTAATTGTGTGTAAATTCTCTGTAAAACCAAATAGCTAAGGGATGAATACAATGTTTGCATACCTGCCAAACTTGCCTCTATTATTTAGAAAGAGTTATTCACTGAAGTGAGATTTACCATGAAATCAAAGTAAATTTCAAATATAAGGCCAAAATAACCAAACTAGAAAATTTTCCCAGTCAGCTATGCTTTTTATTCTGCAACTTCATCCTTAAATTTGAAATTCACTTTGAATTTATTTAGAATTTCAGACAATTCTCACTTTAGTAAATAACCTTCTTAAACTTTAAATTGGTTCTTTTTTTTAATTTCCTACAACTGGCTGTGAGAGCAGACTGATTGCATCATCCAAACTGTGTGCGACCCTTAAACACATGCCACTCAAGATCAAATCTCTGTAATAATCAAATAGACTAAAATCAGTGACAATATATAATTCTATATAATTCTATCCCATACATCAGTGATTTCATTCTACTAGTGGACCTAGACAGATGGGAGATGTCTCTGGAGTACCCATACTCATATATGACTCTCTACTGAGTACAATTCTACAATAGAGAGTCAGCAGCAGCAGCAGGGATACTTGGCTTTCGATGATGGGGAGTGCCAGTTTTCCGTAACTACTCAAAAATGGTCTTTTGCTACTGCAGTCAAAGCCTTGTAGCACCAATGCCCCTTTTTAAGCTGTAATTATTTATAAAGCACCACCTGGACCTACCTTGGAAGTGACCAGGTTTGGTTCAGAGGTTCTAGGTTTGAACACTTATTGTAAGGCTTCTGGGACAAGCTTGTCTTCTTCTGTTGGAGGAAACATCACTTATCCTCCACCCACTCCGTGATCAGCACTGAACACTTTTTGGAAAAGTCAATTTAAGGCAGATCCTGTCCATTTTACAGGTATTTCCACCTCTAATTTGCCCTGCATATCTTCCCTCCTATTCCTTCAATTCCAGGGCATGGGATGGGGAGTGGATGGGACTCAGAAAATGTGGATGTGGAATGTGAATTAGTCTCGTTCAGCTACAAGGTCTCCATCCTCATAGAAGTAGTATTTAGAAGTGAGGTTTCCTAAGGTTAAACAGGTGAGTTCCCAAGTTATAACAGCAAGCACATCTATAAATTTATACAGTATCAATAATCTCTGCTGTGGAAGGAATCTTGTATCTGCAGTAACAGAAACCTTGATTTTTTTTCCTTCTGCATTAAGGATTAAAGAAAGGGAAATGGATTAACGTGCCTTGATGTAGCAAAGTTTATTTGCACGTAGTAAAAAACATATGCCATTGTGATTTATGTTTAATCTGTCTCTGAACGCATGGCAAGGTCGGTGCAAATAACAACATATGCTTTTGTGTTTCTTCTACATGGCGCATTACAAACACGCTTATAAACCAGTAAGCCGTTTTCCCCTGGATGAATTTAAATAAGAAAAAGGACTATTAAGTACCAAGATTATTATTGTATTCATGTCTTCCACAAAGAGATAATGTTAAGATTTCTCAATAAGCATACTAAATCTTACAAGGACGTTTTGTCTGTAATATATAAAAATACACATTTCAATACTTGACACAGTTGAAATAACACATGTTCTAATAAGTTTTTTTTTCCTTTTTTCTTTAATGGGTTCTATATTGTTAAAGGGATACTAAGTCTAAGGACGAGTAGAAAGCCTGGGCATTACACAAAATCTAGCACACCCCATATAATTTAAAACCAAGTCACAATGTAGCTTATGAATGAAGCTATTTGCACCCAGGTCATTTAGTTGAAAGCTGGAAAACCAAAAAAGGTAAAAAAAATAAATAATAAAAAAATTAAAAAAAATAAAAAGGGTATTAATGGTATTACCTCATTTGTGGTGGGTGGGGGGGTTGTTTGATTTTTTTTTTGTTATTATTAAACTAATTGTAATCGTGCTAACATTGGCTGTACATCATTAACGGGAAACTGTAGTTATTACAACCATTTCATTTTACTGAATTTGCTAAAGTACATGGAGATCCATGGCACTGTCCCTCACTTCAGTGTTAAACTATTTTCAGAAGTATATAAGGAATTTTTCACACACTTGTGAATTTACAACAGTGATTCTAAAATCCACATACAGTGATATAGAAATTTCAATTTAAAGTGATTATGGTGGAATAAACAAATAAAGAGTAACTTCCCTTAGCAATATAGGATATGCCCGAGGATTTCCTCCTATCTTCAATTTAGTAAGTATATGGTATAGGGCTATTCCAAGCTATGGGAATAAAAAATACATGGCATAGTGCAATATTGTCTGTGGTAAAATGGGTATATGAGTAAGTGCCAAATGTTCACTCACACTTTAACATCCCAAGAAATGCCTTCAAAAGTGTGCTTGGTGTGTCTTCTTGCTTCAATGTTTGATGAATATAAATCTCATAAAAAACAAAAGTAAAAAAAAGAATGAAATGACTGTATGAATAAAGGGTAAATGGGAGTATGAGTGGGGAGTGTACAAAAGGGGAGTGACAAATTAGTGACAAATTAGTTAAAAAGACATTATGTAAGTAATAAATACTTTTTTTTACCCTTTATATAGTCATTTCATTCTTTTTTTATTTTCGTTTTTTTATGAGATTTATATTCATCAAACATTGAAGCAAGAAGACACACCAAGCACACTTTTGAAGGCATTTCTTGGGATGTTAAAGTGTGAGTGAACATTTGGCACTTACTCATATACCCATTTTACCACAGACAATATTGCACTATGCCATGTATTTTTTATTCCCATAGCTTGGATTAAACTATTTTCAAGCAGTTTCAAAGTGTACAAGATTTCCTGGCATGCCACAACCCAGCCCTCATTGGATCTGTACCTAAGTCAGAGATTACACACTTCCTTTTAGCCATACAGATTCATACCAGCAATGGACTCTGTGATAGGCAGAAAGGGGTCATCTGAAACTTTCAGCCAATCACAGCCACCCGTCACTGCTCAGGCTAATGCTTCCCTATCAGTCCAATCAGCACAGAGAGGATGGGCTGCTGGGGACTCTAGTTTTGATCTCAATCAAATTTAGCATCTATGGGATGTGCTGGAAAAACAAATATAATCCAGGGAGGCCCCACCTCGCAACTTGCAGGACTTAAAGGATCTGCTGCTAAAGTCTTGGTGCCAGATACCACAGGACATGTTCCAAGGTCTTGTGGAGTCCATGCTTCAACTCATCAGAGCTGTTTTAAAAGCAGGAAGGGGATGTACATGGTGGATTTAATATTGTAGCTGATCAGTGCATAGTTATAGGTTCTCATCCAGAGTGAGTCTTTTTTTCTTTGTAGAATACTGGTAATATGGTTAACAAATTGTGGATACTGGTATAACAATACATGAAAAATATTTAATAATCAATAATGACATAAAATATTCACATTTTAAAATACTTAAAACACCAAGTCCAAACATCTCTAGTACAGCTTTCGACTTCAAACAGTTATTTATCAAAAATATAATGTGGGCATCTCAAAACCCCTTGGAAGATGAAACAGCTGAGACATACAAATGGTTAAAAGTTAATACATTCCTGAATAACCCGAGGTCAGTAATAAAAATAAATAAATGAAGCGCATTCACAGAACCCATTCACATGTTTTACAAAAGACCCCGAGGCTTGGATAATTTTTCTCAGACTATCATGGTGCTGAGCAAACTGCGGGACAAACTGCATCATGGACACTGCAAGCTTTTCATGTGCCGATACAAGTCTTGTGATAAAGAAATGTAAAAACCGTTACGTGGAGTGAAGTGAAAAAAAACTGTATATAAGAGATAGAGAAATGATAAACCCTCTATAATTCATGTATGAAGTCCCAGTCCTTCCCGCAGCATGTTGCAGTCCGGGATAATTACAAGGAGAATGCATTGTAGCTGCAACTGGATACTAATGATAAGGGAGAGAGTCTGCGATATAGCTATTAGTAGGCACACCCATATTGACACACATACAGTGTGATAGACACAGACTGAACACACACACACACACACATATAGACACACATTGACAGCTCTACAGACTGATGGAAGCAAAGACTGAATTACTTAAAGGACCACTATAGTGCCAGGAAAACATACTCGTTTTCCTGGCACTATAGTGCCCTGAGGGTGCCCCCACCCTCAGGGTCCCCCTCCCGCCCGGCTCTGGAAGGGGGAAAGGGGTTTAAACGTACCTTTTTCCAGCGCTGGGCGGAGAGCTCTCCTCCTCCGATCCTCCTCAGTTCCGCCCCGTTGGCTGAATGCGCACGCGCGGCAAGAGCTGCGCGCGCATTCAGCTGGTCGCATAGGAAAGCATTTACAATGCTTTCCTATGGACGCTGGCGTGCTCTCACTGTGAAAAGCCAGCACACAAAAGGGGTGGACCTGCTGAAGCACTCCCTGTATTGTCCTAGTGCCTGCTACACAGTGCTAGTGTGCGCTCACGCTGTGCTACCTGGGGACAACTAAAGCTAAACAGCGGGAGAGAACCACAAAATTGTGACTGTCCCACTAAAAGCTGTAAAGATGGGAGGCATAATGCGTGCACGTGACAGGAAATATGAGACATAAAAAAGGAAAAGAAGTGGGGAAGGAATGGAGACATACTAGTTACACAGTTCGTATCACTATCGATGCTCATGGGTAAAATGATGGCCAATTCGGACTAGCCATGAGCAGGGCGCTGGTGAAATGATGGAGTTATGACGTGCCAATTAGGACTAGCCATGAGCAGGGCGCTGGTGTAATGATGGAGTTATGAAGTGCCAGTTACGACTAGCCATGAGCAGGGCGCTGGTGAAATGATGGAGTTATGACGTGCCAATTAGGACTAGCCATGAGCAGGGCGCTGGTGTAATGATGGAGTTATGAAGTGCCAGTTACGACTAGCCATGAGCAGGGCGCTGGTGAAATGATGGAGTTATGACGTGCCAATTAGGACTAGCCATGAGCAGGGCGCTGGTGTAATGATGGAGTTATGAAGTGCCAGTTACGACTAGCCATGAGCAGGGCGCTGGTGAAATGATGGAGTTATGAAGTGCCAATTAGGACTAGCCATGAGCAGGGCGCTGGTGTAATGATGGAGTTATGAAGTGCCAATCAGGACTAGCAATGAGCAGGGTGCTGGAGAAATGATGGAGTTATGAAGTGCCTGTTAGGACTAGCCATGAGCAGGGCGCTGGTGTAATGAAGGAGTTATGAAGTGGCAATCAGGTCTAGCCATGAGCAGGGCGCTGGTGTAATGATGGAGTTATGAAGTGGCAATCAGGACTAGCCATGAGCAGGGCGCTGGTGTAATGATGGAGTTATGAAGTGCCAGTAAGGACTAGCCATGAGCAGGGCGCTGGTGAAATGATGGAGTTATGAAGTGCTAGTCAGGACTAGCCATGAGCAGGGCGCTGGTGTAATGATGGAGCTATGAAGTGGCAATCAGGACTAGCCATGAGCAGGGCGCTGGTGAAATGATGGAGTTATGAAGTGCCAGTTAGGACTAGCCATGAGCAGAGCGCTGGTGAAATGATGGAGTTATGAAGTGCCTGTTAGGACTAGCCATGAGCAGGGCGCTGGTGTAATGATGGAGTTATGAAGTGCCAATCAGAACTAGCCATGAGCAGGGCGCTGGTGAAATGATGATTGCCCTGGAGTAACCCTGAGCAGCAGCTGGTACATTTAATATTGTGCTGTTTTTCTCTGGTGCCCTAGAAGCAGTATAGAAAAAGAGAAATCCCACTACACACCAAATATTCATAAAAAGTATATCTTTATTTAATCCAATAATTCAAAAAGAGAGTACAAAGAGTGCGTAAATATTAATATACATTCATGGGAAAAAGAAAGTACACCCTCCTTGAATTCTATGGTTTTACATATCAGGACATAACATTTATCTGTTCCTTAGCAAGTCTTAAAATTAGGTAAATACGACCTCTGATTAACAATAACACATGGCAAGTTACATTGTGTCATGGTTTATTATAACAAAAATAAAGCCTAGAAACAGACACCATGTGTGAAAAACTAACTACAATTTATGATTACATGAATATACTTACAGTAATAAGTTAAATGAACACTATAAATGTGTATTCCTGACCCTCTGATGTTAAAAACATAGTTTAGGTGACTGGCACCCCTCTTGCCCCCCTTAAAAAGGCTTTAAACTTATCTTTATTCAAGTGCAGCTCTGCCACCACTCTGCCTTCATGGCTGAGATTATCAGAACTGAAAATCTCAGCCAATCCAATTCTTTCCTGTAGTTAATGTGCATGTGCGTCAAAACGTTGCGCTGAGCCAATCAGCATCTACTCACAGAGATGTACTAAATCAATGCATCTCTATGGGGAACATTCAGCGTCTCCATGCTGAACATCAATGCTGCACAGTGTGCAGCGTTGACCCAGTAAGCACCTCTAGAGGCCATCTGAGTGACTACCACTAGAGGTGCTGCTAAGCAGCAATGTAAACACTGCCTTTTCACTTTTTCAGTGCCTGCAGGGACATACTGTAGTTGTTCTGGTAATTATAGTTTCCTTGAACTAATTTATCCAAAATGTTACCTTCTTAATGGACAAAGCAAGTGGTGGCAACAAATCCAATTTCCCCCCCCCTAATGTCTTTCTCAAGGGGATGCACAACTATTCCATTTTTTTTGCACAAGGAATTGCTTTTTTGAATTTTATCACACACACGTTTGTTTAATTGTTTTATTTGCTGGGCTTGATTGCAATACACAAAAATGTTGTGAGCACAATCTTAGTCACAGCGCACTTTATATTAGTCTTTTTTTAAAATGTGATCATCTGATTAACCCTTCTATGACTGATGACTTGCTAGGGTGTGTCATAAGTTGTAAACAAGGGCAGAGTTTCACAGTATACTGTGTTCCTGAATGGCTTATTTCTGCAGAATATTTAAACTGGTTAATGTGTCCCGCGTCATTACAACTCAGACAACACCACGGCTACAGAGGGAGCAATATTTAACCTATCAATGGGTTCTGTTCCATGTGAGGCTAGGAGGAGAGTCTTATTCAATGACTCATTAAATACTTTGTATAAGCAGGAGACATAATCACGTTTCAGAAGCTCCCTGAGAAATTACTCAGAGCAGCTTTAAGGTACATGGGAGGGCAGCAGTTGAACTACAGGAAAATATAGCTGAGGCTTCTTAAAACCCAATTTGATGCTTCCAGCTGCAGGAGTCAAAAGTCAGTGAGTCACCTGAGAGGTCTGACTAACTGGGGGCACAATGGAGGGATGTGGGTTATAGCAGTTCAGACAGCGCCTGGCACAGTCTTTCTTGGCACAGCCTGGACTGACACTCATTCAGAATCCTGGAACAAACACATTCTGATTTTCCCTGATTTTCTGATTCTTTAATTTCAGAAAATACTTGTGAGAGCCTGTCCACAGCTACTCTAGATTTAGTTAATTATATTGTAAATACTCACGGATATTTTAGAGGTTCAGTACTTTGCATCGTCAGCATACAATACTATTGTAGTCCTTTTTATCTCTGAAATGTTTATCTATATTATAATATAATGGAGTAAATACACATTAATGGAGGGTTTGCGTGAATGTATGCTGGACTTCTCTACCACACTGCATACAGTCCTGCTTCTTGTTTGTATACTACCCAACAGTCCCAGATTTGGGCCTACAGTCCTGATTTGGAATCAGTGAATGAGCACATCATTAAATCGCTCTGCAAAAGTCTTTGCTGACCATGGTGGGTGCTACATTATTATAGTGTAGGGGGCTCTGCACCATAGTGGGTGCTGTGTTATTATAGTGTAGGGGCACTGCACCATGGTGGGTGATGCATTATTATAATGTAGGGGGCTCCGCACCATGGTGGGTGTTGCGTTTTTATAGTGTAGGGGGCACTGCACCATGGTGGGTGCTACATTATTATAGTGTAGGGGGCATTGCACCATGGTGGGTACATTGTTATTCTAGTGTAGGGGGCTCTGCACCATTGTGGGTGCTGCATTATTATAGTGTATGGGGCACCATGGTGGGTACTTTGTTATTCTAGTGTAGGGGGCTCTGCATCATGGTGGGTGACACATTATTCTAGTGTAGGGGGCTCTGCACCATTGTGGGTGCTGCGTTATTATAGTGTAGGGGGCACTGCTGCGTTATTATAGTGTAGGGTCTCTGCACCATTTTGGGTGCTGTGTTATTATAGTGTAGGGTGTTCTGCACCATGGTGGATGCTGCATTATTATAATGTAGGGGGCTCCGCACCATGGTGGGTGCTGCATTTTTCTAGTGTAGGGGGCGCTGCACCACGGTTAGTGCTGTGTTATTATAGTGTAGGGGGCTATACACCATGGTGGGTGCTGCGTTATTATAGTCTAGGGGGCTCTGCACCATGGTGGGTGCAGCGTTATTATAATGTAGGGGGCTTGGCACCATGGTGGGTGCTACATTAGTATAGTGTACAATGCTTTATTATAGTGTAGGGGGCTCTGCACCATGGTGGGTGCTACATTAGTATAGTGTTCAATGAATTATTATAGTGTAGGGGGCTCTGCACCATGGTGGGTGATACATTAGTATAGTGTAGGGGGCTCTGCACCACGGTGGGTGCAGCGTTATTATAGTGTAGAGGGCTCTGCACCATGGAGGGTGCTGTGTTAATATAATGTAGGGGGCTTGGCACCATGTCAGGCACTCTCTCCCTATCTGCCTCACGCACAATACCTAGCATAGTCTCGATATAATGAGACTATATGGCACCTGAAGGCACCTGAAGTGTCCATTTAAGACCCTTTACTCCAAAGCTCCCTCTGCAACTCTGGGCCCTGGTGTGGCTTGACCAGCTTTAGTTATACCACTAGATCAGGAGTTGAAATAATCTCTGCTCATGTTTAAACTTGTTTTACATTGTATTATTTACTGACCGCAGTTCACCCTTTGTGTTATTAGTTAATCCGTGACTACCATCCGGCAAGTCAGCTCGACCAAGCATGTATTGTGCACTGACACCTCCAATTTGGGCCAAAGGACTATGCTGTTTTTTGTCCATCCTGGAAGTTGGTAAATGTGACATTGTATGAAGGAAGGTGAGATCACATATACTATATATAATTAGTTCAGGTCATATATTTATATAGATATCTAATGGAATAGAATTTAGAGATGACAAAGAACAACTTAATTGCTGTTCCAGCAGTGTGATACCTGTCACCCGTGTGTTTAGTCCTTCATTGTTTTTTTAAATCATTATTTATTTTCTTTTTATTGCACGCTAGCACTGTCTCTATTGCAGCTTGGCAGCATTGCAATTTAATTCATAATCCCCAACGAGTGTTAAAACCTGCCTCCTGGCAAGTTGTGTACTTATTTTTTTGTTTGATCTGGGCACAGATACAGCATTTTGTTAATGTAAGAGATAAATCAATAACATTTTATAATTTTTGCACGTCACTGAATTTCAGGTTATAGCTGCTTTGACGCATTGTGGAGCAAAATAATCGCGTCGGGCTAAAAATAGGAGCAGAAGATGGCAAAATCTTTGTCCTGTCCTTTTTATGGAGTACCTAATTCAGCAATGTTAATACATCCATAAACAATACAGAGAACACAGTACTGAGAGCACGCCGGTGAGAGCAGTTTTATTTGAGGATAATTTAAAGGACCGATGTAATAAGACCCCTGCTGTGCAATGATATCAAAGCTGTCACTCAAACTGAGATTGGAGGGAGCGAAGTTCAATATGCGGTGCTCCACTAATTTTCCTATGGACCGTATTCACATATAAAAAGAGGATTGTAAAAGTAATATTATTTTATATACAAGGTTAAACCATAAATTAACAAAACATGCAAATGTAAAGACTTTCCGCCTGAAAATGGAGCTCAGTATTGGCAAATGAAAGGTTCAAACATTCTAAGGCTTTCCAGCTGCTGTTGTGATTCAACTCCCAACTACCTCAGCCATCATTTTGGAATTAATAGCCTTTTAGAAGCTTTTTTTTTTTTTTTAAACAGTTGCAACATTAATCAAAATTAGGAGACTTAAAAATGATTTAGCTAATAACAATGCACTATATACGTGACCAAACTGATGTTATTTACAGTGAATAAATGATAATTGAACAAATTTGGCACCATTGATATATGTAACCAGTGTTTGTGTGTTTGTTTGTTTTGTCTCTCGTGTAAGTTTTGTGTGTTTAGTTTGTTACTATGTAGGGGAAATGTTATTTATGGCACAAATAAACAGAATTAGACTTGGTTTTAAGGAATGCTTGTATCAAATATATGGCAACACTACCTAACAGGAGAACAATCATAAACATTTGTTTTGATATGTTGTATCATATTTTAATCTCTATTGTAGTGACCATAATCTGTTAGTTGAAAGGCTATTGGGATTTTGTAAATTCCTCCAAATCAAGCAGAAAAATTTCTATTTTCATGTATTTTTCAAAATGAAATTTAGACCGTAAAGCCTCACTGACCCTTATTTATTAGTATTATTACAAGTCAGCAAAGGAACACATTTCTCTGCCAAAAGTCACTACTCACTGATAGAATATCTGTAAAGGTGATGGAAGGGAAGCTTGTCTCTGTGCTTTCAAACAGTACAATAAGTTTCATTGGGTGATTTCATTCCTAATGTCAGGGAGGTAGAAGAGTAAATGAAATCTGCTATTTCACTGCCAGAATTATGTTAGCTGTCTAGAGATTGATAAAGATTGCTATAGCAGTTTTAAATACCTTTATTTTAGAAATATATAATTGAACTGTATGTACTGTACGTGGACATTATGCTCAATGAAGACTTTTTGGGGGTTGGAAAGTAATTAGTAAGTACGGTAAGCTGTACTGCTAGTAATGCCTTCAGGGTCCTTACTTATAAGCAAGGTATTTGACATTTTTTATTTATGTCTTTTTGTCACACCTACTGTATGAATGTGAGAAAAATGCATTTTTCCTTTTTTATACTGACATGAAATATTAACATAACATGTGAAATATTAAGTTAAAGGAATCTGCATGCAATCTAAAGCTAAATATATAAATGAAAAATAAAAATTGTGTTATATACAATCCATGCTATCTGTTTATTTGCTATCTATGCATTCCTTGATTTAAATAAAAGTGTTCAGTAGTGAAGAGGGTAAAAAATTATCTTATGAGTAAGAAGAAGCCAGGGCCCCCTCCCCCCTTGTAAACCAGGTATATTAGACCGCACCAAAGCAGGATAGTCAGGGAACACGGCAGCTCACATTGGACAGAGAAGGACTAACCAGAATCAGGAAAAACAAAATTAAATTAAACTACAATATCCTCTACAATAGAACAAAGTTTTTTTTTCCATGACAGTTCCCCTTTAAATATAATCATTTATTTATGGTTTATTTTTTCTCAAAATGGGTTAAATTCAGCCCAGCCTTGTTCTCGAGCTTCCTGGCGTTCTATGGAACCTTGATGCATTAAAAGTCAATTGCTTCTGAAATTGTAAAAAAAAAAAAAAAAAAAATCAGCTCACTCTCAGTAGTAGAATGACTCAATGGCCCTACCAAGTTCAGCTGCAAAGAGCAGATTATCTGGTGACAGTGTGCCAAAACCTACTATATATTCATGTACATTCAATAAATCACCCTGTTCAGACTTAATCCAACCTTGTTTTAACTAGTGAACTCCATACCTAAAGCACTAGAATTATTGAACAAAGCAGCTTTCTTTAGATAGAAGAAAATGTTATAAACATGATAAAAGTTCATAAAATTAGCCCTGGGCTCAAATGTTTTCTAGATCAACTGAGCACATTTGGTAAATATATGATGTAATTCTCAACTAATTTAATTCTGAAATTCAAAATTCTCACCATGACCTACAAAGCCTTTACTATCGTCCCCGTAAGATCTAACAATGACTTGCTCCTTGCACCGTCTATTATCACCTCTTCCCATGCTAGACTGCAGGACGTCTTTCATGCGTCACCAATGGACTGGAACGCACTTCCCTGCGCTGTCAGACTTTCCCCAAATCTACCTTCCTCTAATGGCTCGCTGAAAACATCCTTGTTTTGGGAAGCCCAACAGTCAATCTAACATATTGTACTTACCCACTAGATGCCCTCATATCACTCTGTGTTGACATCATTCTCACCTTTGCAGTCCCGAACTTCTGTTTCTCACCTCCCCGTCAATCTAGATTGTAAGTTCCCACTGGAATAAAGCCTCAACTCCTCCTGTACTTGTTTGTTGTATCGTGACTTGTACCAACTGTGCCCTCTTTCAGCTCTGAGTAATGTGTTTGTGCTCCACAAATAATGTATAATAATAATAACAATAATAATAACCATTTCCCACAGTGCTGAGAAATGTTCTGCTCTTTATTAATAAATTGATATCTCAATAATAAATGCCTATCGTTATTTTCAGTTACTCTATCATCTCTTGTACTCAAGCAATGTGCCCTAGATAGAGTAATACGCTATATAATTAAGAAGTGGAGAGAAATATTGTATTAAAATAAACGGCAATCTATTTTCCAATGCCCTCAGGTATTGGTTCTCATTTAGGATCGTTGATGTTTTCTATTACAGTACTTTAATTTAATCCCAACCCCCTACACAAGACAATTGATAGTAGAACAATAGCACTAATAGAAAATCATTAAAGTCACAAACTACCGACCAAAACCCCAGATGGTTAAAGTTTGTCAGGAATGTTCCAATTTAGGTCCCGTTCAGCCATGCTGTATACTTGCCAAGTGTACTTCTCTAGGTGTGTCAGTCTCTATTTAAAATCCAAATCCATCTGTCCATCTTTTCTACCATAATCTAATAACGTTCCTCTTTCTAGGAGCGCCAACGTTTTGGTGCATAACAGAGCTTTACAAAGGTAAAAGTATCTCAGTCTGCAATGCATGTGTTCAGATATGTCTATGTGTCAATCATTTTCTAATTTATATATTCATTTACATACATGGCTGGAAATAGGTCATGAAATCAGTTAAAATGTTCCCAGAAAAGCTTTGCATTAAGACAAGGGGCGATTCGGGGGGCGAGCACCAGGGCAAGTGCTTACCCTTAGACACCTGCCTTTTCTTTGAATTAACTTCTTGCTCTTTAGTCTCCAAACAAACCTGCCTTTCTAAATAAAACGCTGCAAATCCACCCCTCCTCTATAGCACTTAGTGTACTAGATCTCTGGACTCAAGTGAGCCACAAGTTCCTGGTACTGCCCCTGCGGACTTGCTGCCCTATAGAACCGGAGAGGAATCTCATTTAACCCCATCAGCCTCCTCCGACTGCAGCTAAAAAGCAAGTTTGCTGTCTGAGCAGTTAAACAACTTACCACAAGAATCAAATTCACCACACTTTAAATTCACATTACACTTTCTATGCATTATAACAAGCAGGCATACTACACACCCAACATTCACATGTTTTACATACATATACAAACTGTGAAAGTAACCTAACATACGTAATGTACACAGTGTTTACATATGTAAAAAAAGATGTAGATAGTACCCAAGACATATATGTACTTTATATACACAGCATAGACATATATTATACACATGCTTTACATACATAACGCTGACAAATATACACATATATATTTTACATACATGGCACAGTCATACATTGCTCTAGAGACAGATTATATGTTTTACATAAAGGATTTAAATATGTGCTGTATACAAAGATTATGTGTTGTACAATACATTTTCTATGAATCATTATTAATACCACATGCTCAAAATATTGTAAAAACTATACCTAAATTCCAACAGTCAATCAGTCTTATTACTGTGGCACTCATAAACAATGTATATATATTATATCGAGCCCCATGACAATAATATGAATTGCTGGAGAGTGTTTATATAATGTATACACCCAACATTAGGCTCTGGATCAGCCCTGATGAAGACACAGTTTCAGTCACAACTCCTACTATTAAAGTGTTCTCATTCGGTCTTATCGTTCTTTTATTGAAAAGCATTCCCTTGTTTCTGCAGAGTAAAAGTTAAAATCACATACTGATCGACTTACTGGCAAGAACCTACATGACTAAAACATGACTTTGACCATTCTTCTTCTGGGACAATCATTGTCTAAAATGGGTCCAAGAACATAAAGAATGGCAAAGAGCCCCTATTCTTCTATTCAGTATGGCCTGAAATTGGCAGTAAATCTAAACATATAAAACTGATTTAGTACTCCACATAACACCGAGCAATCCTTTTATGTTTTCACCCTGTACCAAGCCTCCAACCATCCTGGGTCTACAATCAAGAAAATTGGATGACCAGGCTCTTGCATCAATGATCCAGCCGTGTCAGTGACTATTTCTGGATTGTTTTTGGAGCTCAGTGAACTTTCATTAATACAAAGTGTTCCTCCATGTGCTATAAATATTTAGCCCAGATTTTGTGATCTGTTCTGACAATATGATGATGCGAGGCCCGTGCCATTTACAGGGACTAATTAATTATCCATGAACAGAACAAGACCGTTGAGTAAACAATACTTTGCATCTAATTTTGATAAACCCTACAGAATGCGAATTCTGCTCTTACTCTCCAACCAGCAGAAACGATTGTTGCATCGGTATATTTTTATCCTAGCGTCTTATTTGCTTGTGTTCCATTTATAATTCTTCCCATAAAGCACTTACATTCTACAGTCAATCATAGCATCGTTTAGAATTGGATCGACAAAGTATTAATATTCAGAAAAAGAACAAACATGACACAAAAAGCACCAAGATTTACCAAAATAAACATTAGAATGGAGGGAACAGAGAAAGAACTATATTATACCATTCATTTCCCCCATCTAAAGATTTCCTGCAGCCCTAAACACTGAGCTATCTCACCCGATAACAAGACTAATAACAGGGTTATTTACTAAAGTAAGAAAAGTCAGGAATTCAAATGGAGTTTCCAATTTATAGGCCTCGATTTAATAAGCTTTCCAAATGATTTATATCTGTTTCCAAATTATTGATCTACAGAAGTCACCATTAAAGTCTAGGGGAATTTTTGTACATAAACCATTTGGAATTTTCTTCTAGCAGAATTGAATCATTTAGAAAGCTTATTAAATTGAGGCCTGAAAGGGTTACTAAAAGCACCATAACCACTTTGATCTCAATTCTGGCAGCATAATTTGGTGCCATCAGTCCCTCCCCAGAACAAGAGTTCCAGAGTAGCTGATGCCAGTTCTGTGCATATTGTTACGTGCAGACACTCATTGATAGGTTGAGGGCGGTTAGATGATGAAGGCCAATGAAGGAGCAGCAGGTTTAGTCTGCCTAACCCTGCCTACAGAGGAGACCCAGCACCTGGTAGGACCAGGTAAGAGGGCAAGCCATTGTAAAATGGGGGACACAGCACAGGGATACATCTACCATCTTAACCACTACACAGGGCTTTTAAAAGCTGACTTGGAGAATTTCTTGAATTTGACTATTTTGGCTTCAAATTTGAAATCCACTTTTAATCAACTTTGAATTCCCAGCAATTCTTACTTTTATGAGTAACCCTGTAAATGAGCTGCTTCGTGGCTGCGGCCTATTCCCACTGATTCTTGATTTGTGAAAGCCATGTGGGGTTCCCATATACACCTTCCATACATTTCAATTATCTGCACATTTATTTATACATGGTAATTATTGTTTTACCGGCATATATGATAATCAGCTGATTAGATCTGAATTTCATCTCTGCACCAGTGTCAACTAATGGCTGCGTTTGTATGAACATAACTTACATGTAAATGTTAAATGAAGAGGGGGAAACTCCATTAGTGTATTGCCAGTAACCCTCAACATTTGGGTACAGCTGCTGAATCTAAATAAGTGTTATTTAGGTTTAATATATACGTATCTGTACCATTCTAAAGAAATACACGGAGAAGAAAGATCCTTCTTTTGCTTTGCCATTAGAAAACGCGTTGCAAGAACTTTGTTATCAATGCAAGGTTGACATCAACATGGGCTGTATGTTTTCCATTAAATGACATATAACCGTAGTTGCCATGGGCGGAAAGATACATGTTCTTGTTGTAACCTCTGGGAATACATAGTTATGCAGGGCTACTTTAAATCTATAATGGAGGAGTAACTACAGCATCCAGACTATCAATCAAACAGGGTTATGCTGTCTCACGTGAGCCCACGGAATGCTATGTTATTCCGCACACTCTTTGCATTTAAAGACCAGAGTGTTTTTTTCATTAAAGGGACACTATAGTTACCAAAACATCTTTAGCTTAATGAAGCAGTTTGTGTGCATTGCTCATGCCTCCCCTGGATGTGACTTACACAGTCTGCATGAAAAAAAAGTGGTTTCTGTTCAAGCAGATGTAACTTACTTTGAAAGATTGTATCTCCTGCTCTGTAAATTGAACTTTAATTACATATATGAGACCCAGGCAGGGTCTAGCAAGCTATTAACAGAGCAGGAGATAAGAAATGCCAAATTAAACAGAATTTGCAATAAAGGAAGTGTAAACATTACATGGCTCTTTACAGGAAGTGTTTAGAACGGCTGTGCAAGCCATGTGCAGGGAGGCATGACTAAGGCTGCATAAACAAAGTGATTTAACTCCTAAATGGCAAATAATTGAGCTGCAAGACTGAAGGTGCATGAGCTATACACCAAAACTGCCAAAGTTGTTTTGGTGACTACAGCGTCCCTTTAACTCCAAAATGTTGGGAACTGATATCAGAATAGAAACATTTAGGTAAAAATAAAAATCCTCCAATTCAGATATAGTCACAGTTTGGCATCTATTTTTGCCTGCGTTTTGCTATCCTTTCTGGGAACATAACCACTACATTATGTTTTAGTGGTTATGGTACTTGGAGTTTTCCCTTAGGCTGTTATATTAGTCTGAAATATGGCTGTGTTTGCCCCCTTTGCTAAACGTTTCCAGTCTGACCTAGTCTAGTGTTTTGCTGCAGCACACAAGCAACTCTATATAAAATAAAGAATTTTCAATATATCAGTTACAGAAACCTGGATGTTGGGCTGCAAAGGTTGATGGGTTTATTCTGGAATCAGTTGTTTCAATGTACCTTGACTCCAGACGATGTGTTCAGGTGTTCTAAATGTTGCTCACTGAAAAAGATGTATAGGTGCAGACTAAGACTGATGTGTGAAATGTAATGCAACCTCTATGTGACTTCTCTTTTTGTAAAGTATCATACATCAGCGTTTATGACAGCTTGTGAGCGGGGCCATAAATCAGCAAACATGCATGACAGTCCAATACGAAAGTTTTGCCAAATATAACTGCTGGAGTGCAGCAAGGAAAAAATAAAGGAAAAAGAGAGATTTAACACTCCTGGCATTATGATAGTTAGTTCAAGGTTACAGCGCAGAAATTGCTGCATAAATAAACATTTTTTATATTTAATCACGTAAAAATAATATGAGCAATCTGCTCATATAAAGATATATTTGATGGGGGTATATTTTCTAATGTGTCAACTGAATTAATAAAACCACGTAATAAAGCAGCAGGCATGTAATGTCTGTGCAGAAAATAGAAAACATTCTATGGAGTGGCAAAAAATACCATTTACAATGACCCAGTTTACAATTTCCAGAATTTTATCGCAGTACAGAATACCGTCTGTACTTACCTACATGAACAGGTCCTTGAGTAGAATACGTCTGTACTTACCTACATGAACAGGTCCTTGAGTCTGTACCTACCTACATGAACAGATCCTTGAGTAGAATACCGTCTGTACTTACCTATATAAATGGACCCATGAGTCCTTTGTGCCTGCAATACAATAGTGATACAATGATACTGGCTGGTATTGATTCCACCATCTATAATAAGCGATTATGTGATTTCAGATTATAAAAGTTTATAAAAACAACTGACACAAAATTAAATGCTAAATGTTTCAATTCAAATGAATGTCACAGGGGTTTACACATTAAATTAGGAATCACAGGCATTGGACATTTCAAACGTCAGGCTAAAATAACAGATTGGAAAAGCACATTAGCAAGGAGAGTTTTTATAGTTCTGCTATGTGGTCACGGGTGCTTGGAGGGGCCTGCTTGTCAAAAGACTATGGGCCAGGTCAGCGACTGTAAAGACCCATATTTTATTCCCCCTGGTTCCCCTACGTAAACAGAACCGAATGCTAGCTCACTAGCGGCCATTCACATGGACCAAAACCGCAAATAGACTTCAGGGGGACTTAGCCACGAATGCCCATGAACTATTTCCAGCATGAAAATTTTGCAGTTCCCGGTCGGTCCCCCAGCAGCACAGAGCCGCGATTCTATGGAACTGTTTTGGGCATGGGACCACTGATCTGGGTGGTTTTGGGGTATGTTGTTCACCCAGATTGGGGCCATCAGGGGATGTTTTGTGGGGTTTTATGTATTTTGTAAGGTATTTTGCAGGGTTTATATTTATGTGTTTTGCGTCTGGAGATAATTGAGTTTAGTTCAGTGCTTGACTCAATTATCTCCCAGGTACAGAGGAGGGATTAATATATAATGTGTGGGAGTGTCATGGAAGTGAGAGCCAATGCGATTGTGTATTTGTTTCTAATGTGGTTTACTCTTAGGTCCAGGGGGGAGTGCCCCTTGCATGGGGACTTGCATAAAAGGCCAGTTGTGGCTACCTGATTACCCTCAACATAGAGCCTCGTCTCATGTGTGGGGGAAACGGCTGTATCTACCCTGGGGATTGCTATATCGCTGTACTCCTCTGCGTTAAAATAACTTGCTCTTGTAAAAGCAGCCTGCTACTCTCTCTGGAGTAGGAGAGGACTGCCCACTGTAAGCTGGATCCTCGTCTTGGGTCCAGGGTGGTTGGAGGAGGGCGAGACCCCAGCCAAGCTGTAACACTGGAAGTGGGGACTATGGTGCTGATGGTGTCTGGTGCTGTGCTTGTGGTACTCGTTAAGCACTACGAAGCAGCGATTGGCGGAGGCACCCAGTCGGAGTGCCAGGCGGTCCGACACATGCTACTTTTGTCTACAATTTGGAATGCCCCCACGAACTCTTCACAATTCCAAATACAGCCTAGAAAGGCAAGTTGAAAAAGTAATTAAGAACAAAACCAAAGTAGTTAATTGCCACATACTAATCTCTAAGCATATGTATTGTAGTTAATAATATAATATTAAAAGTTGCAAAGTGAGCTAATATTCACCCAAAGTATGGATCATAGCAAAGTGTGACATAGTACGAAACGCACTCTGACACAGAAAGTAGCACTCTGGTTGCACTTTCCCCCTGTATCCCCATTCACTAACTACTCATTGAGATTGAGAAGAGGGCTAGCGAGACTGTTCCTCCTAGAAATAGAGATATTTCAGACACTTCAACTCTCGTGTTTTAGGGGTTACTGCATGTTTTCAATTCAGAATAGTAATAATTTCAAGAGAAAACTGCACTTTTATGAAATACTTTATGAATACCCTCTTGGTAGTCAAGCCAGAACTTTCATATGTTAGTCTAATGCTTTGATATGAAGAGTATTTTATGGGGCGATTGCCAATTGTTGTGAATACTGCTTTTGATTGGTGCAATTGCTACAATTGCAACATATGCATCAATTTCCTCTGGATAGGAAAGATACGAGGGGGTGTCTGGCATTTACAGGGTTAAAGAACACTCTAAACGTTTTACATTTTCATTTGAAACTTCTCATACTCCCAAGTAAAGCTATGAACCAAAGCCTGGAGATGACAGGAACACAATAATCCAGTTCATCAATTAAAAAAATAGAACATTTAAACAAAATACCAAAGCTGCGACAGTGAGGATTTTATGGGGACTGCACAAGTAAAAATATTCCTATATTTGGCAAGCTTGTCTCACGGAACAGAATGTGGGATCTTACGTCTATAAAAGGACGATACAATAGACGTAAGAATGTAAATAGGTGATAAAAACTCTTACCGATGCTGGCTGATTCGCAAGTAACATAGATTTTCAAAAGGATGAAATATAGATTACTTAAATAGATTCCGCAGTATTCTAGCAACAATAATACGCAATATCTGCAATATTGAGGCAGTCACCTACCATCCCTAGACCCAGGTCCAATAGAACAGTAGCATATTGGACTCCGGTTTCAATGTTCTGTGTTTTTTATTCTGGAATGTTTATTCTGGAGACATCACAGAAAGAGTTCCTGTAAAGCCCAGTGTGAGCGTATAACGAAATTACTTTAGCATTTAGTAGACTTATATTTTATTAGTGGCTCGTCACTCACCCAAATGTAGGGACTAGATTCCCGTGTAAACCTATAATTATAGGTGTATAAATATTAACCTTTAAAACCTCACTGGAGGTGACAGATACCAGTTCCCTCATACCAGTTAACACTACTGAATATAGCAGAGGTAAGTTAAAAAAAAGAAAAAGAAACACAGTCAGGAGCAGTGGTGTTTCCTGATTTTGTGCTGCCCTAGGCAGGACAAAACTCAGGCGCACCCCCACCCCCGTGCCACCCCCACCCAACCATTCCCCCCTGCCCCGCCTTCTAAATACACACACATTCACTGACAGATTTGCAGACACTAGCTAACAGACATACACACACTAACAGACAGACACACACACACTAACAGACACACACACACTAACAGACACACACACACTAACAGACAAACACACTTACACTCACTTACACTCACTAACAGACAAACACACACACACTCACTACAAACACACACTCACACACACACTAACAGACAAACACACTCACTAACAGACACACACAGACACACACTCACTCACTAACAGACACACACACACACACTCACTAACAGACACACACACTCACACACACTAACAGACAGACACACTGAGTGGATCGCTTTGGTTCGGTTCGGTTCGCTATTTTGGGTGTTTCCATTATGAAAGTGGTCCATATAAGCTAACCGTACCGATCCATTCAGGGTCCTGCTTCAGATGTAGGGCCATAGGAAATGGAACGGTTCAGTTAGGACGGAGCTACTATACAATCCATTGATTGGTGGACAGGAAGAGCCTTTTTTCTAAACCCTGTATGGCCCCTGAAGGTCTGGCTTGCAGTGGAAATGCTCACCAGAATGGGCTGGACCATTCTAAACCTTCCAAACTGTACCGACCCGAACCGATCCGCTCAGTGGAAACGAGGCATAACAGACACACACATACACTCACTGACACACACACAGACACACACACTAACAGACACACACACTGACATTAACACACTCACTTTTTTTTTATTTTTATTTAACTCCCCCAGCCTCCTTACCTTTGGAATGCAGGGGGGGTTTCTCCCTTTCCCTGGAGTCCAGTGGCTGCTGGGCGGGTGGCGCTGGCGAGGAAGCACTTTCCCCTGAGCGGTCTACTCAGCTCCCTCACGCGCCGCAAAGTGATGCCGGGAGCCGGAATATGTCGTCCCGGCATTACTCTGCGGTGCGCGAGGGAGCTGAGCAGAGCCGCCTGGGTTGTCAGTTAGCCGCAAGGCTAACAAGACATTTGCCCTGGGCATTTGGGGGCGGCTTTTTTGGCCGCCCCCTGGAAAATGCTGCCCAGGGCAAATGCCTTGTTTGCCTCGCGGCTAATATGTCCCTGGTCAGCAGCATTTCTGTGTTGTAGGCGCCATTAATGTCCCCCATGCATTCATGTGTTTAAACATCTACAGAAAAATGCTGTATAGGTAAATGTGCATGCGGGCATCGCTTCCATTGTGCCCTCAGTGTGCCTGTGCATGCATGTACAGCATTGTGACAGTTAGTTTAATAAACATTGGCCTGCATCAGTCCAGGCATACCATGTTAAAGGGACAATCTGGTACCCAAATATAAAATAAATATATTGTTTGGTAGATATACCTTAAATGGAAACTTCCATGCATTTCATTATGCATTTTTTTCATGTGGGGTTATATCTTAAAAACAGCTTGCAAAAGCTGTAGATCGTTTGTCTGCAATTTGTCAGCATTTACAAACCCCTCACCTTCTAACCCCGCCCAGACTTTCTGTGACTGTCCAATCACAGACTTCCCAATGCAGCTCAATGAGAAGTCTTTGCAAAGCAGGTGCTCTGGGTAATTCGTGCCTCTTGAACTTGAGCTCCACTGAGTTAAACAACCAGGAAGTAACAGGTCAGTTTGTCTGCTTGAAAGCCAGGGGGATGTAACTGGTATAATTCATAAAAAGTGTCAATTTCTATTGAAAGCTGCACTTTTTATAAAATAAAAAAAAGAGGACACACATAAACTTTTAAGCAAACTGCAGTGTCCCTTTAATTAATAAATATAAAAGCTTCAGAACTAAAATTTTCTTTTTAAAAACTTGAAGAAAAAAACCCCCAGAATACTACTATAAAAAATCTGGCATGTGACAGTTTTGTTTTAAGTGACATGTCTGGAATATACTGTCTGCTTACTATAATGCTAACCTATACAGTCTCACACTAGGCTGTTAGAGTAATCTCGGAGATACATTACATACTCAGTGCCGTTGACCCTGAAGACTTTTAGAGTATGCTGTTCATTTCACTGCCTTTTCACTCCGTCATATTTTTCTTTTTCATTTGTAAGAAAAAAAAATCTTTCAGAGACATAAAGGGAAAAAAAAAAAAAAGAGAGTCATAGGCGTATAAACTACTCACAAAGCATTACGGAGCCAAGGTAGACTTATTGCCATGACAACTGTTACTAGCTTAAAGGATTATGTTATCATCAAACCATCCATAAGGTCAGCAGCGCATTTGCTAGAATTCCAGTTTTTTTTTTTTTTAAATCACAATTCCATTAGTCAGAGATACAAAGTGTGACATAGTAAAAAACGCACTCTGACACAGAAAGTAGTACTCTGGTTGCAATTTCCCCCTGTATCCACATTCACTAACTACTCATTATTTTTTTCTGTAGCGATATTGTTGCACAGATCACGAGTATTACAAACACTTTATCCCCGTTTCATAACACTGAGTAGGCTGTCTTGTTTGACACGCAGAACACTAAGATATATTGTTTTATTAACTTTTACGTCTTATAGGGAAATGGAGACTCAAGAAGAGTGATTAGAAAGTTTCGATCTCACTGACGATTTAATCAGCCCAGTCTGGGTGACTGAGTTTTTTTTTTTGATACATTGGAACCCCGCCAAAAAGAGTGAAAGTGGCTATAAATCATTTTACGATAATCTGGTCAGTGATTCCCAGAAATAAGAGGATCGAGAAGGAGACTATGCAGGCTTCGGAAGTAAATGTCCTTGGTTTTACAGGTTTTAATGAAGCTCTCCGTAAGGTGTAAAATACTAGGCTGGCAGAATGCCTGTTGAATATAAAAATATGCGTTCCATACACTGCAGAATATACTGATATTCACACGCAGCAAATATACAGCGGTGTAAGTTTATTAGAGGATATATTAGGGTATTCAAACCTCTAAGACATTGATGATCTATCGATTGATCTGTCTATTAGGAGGGGAGGGGAGTAAAACTAATTTTTTTTCTAAAAAGGAATTTAAAAAATCACTAACTGTTACTCATTAGTATGATGCCTCTACGCATCAGACTTAGTTTGATGAAAATCTTTATTAACCCAGATTGAAGTCTATGTGACTGAATGATATTTTATGAAGGAGTATTTAATCACAGTTCTCCAATTTTCAGAACATGTATCTCTCCAGTTTTGTAGAACAGGACAGGGATCGCTACAATGTTACTGCTTTCCCTTAAAGGGACACTGAAGGCACCCAGACCACTTCAGCTCATTGAAGTGGTCTGGGTGCATTGTCCCAGGTCCCTTAACACTGAGCAGGTAATTATTTCAGCTTTTAAGAAATTGCAATAATGACCTGCTAGGGTTAGTTCCACCTCTAGTGACTGTCTACCAGACAGCTACTTAAGGGATTTCCCGGCTGTTAGGCAACTTTTGGTTGCCTAACTGATACTGGACGTCCTCACACTGTACATGGGGACATCCAGCGACACCCCCCTATGGGGAAATCCTAATTCTAGCATTGGCGTGCATTAGGTCTCCCCAGCCGAGAAGACATTGGTGCTGGACCCAGGTAAGTGACAGAAGGGATCACGGGGTGGGGGAGCTTGACGGAGGGGTAGACAGAGTGCCAAGAAAATGAGTTTGTTTTCCTGACACTATAGTTTCCCTTTACGTTTTTGTAGTGGTTTATTTACATCTCTATCTCTTTACTTTGCTGATTTAATCAGATTTAAGTGTTGGGTTGATTGACACTACTGACTTTGAAGTCAAACCTAAGACACAGGTAAAAACCAAAGAAAAGAAAAAGTTACCTGCGCTCTCTCCTTAATCCCTATGTATATCTAGACAAATGGAGGTCATTCAGCTGCTCCAATGGCCATCGGAGGGAATGCCCGCCTGCCAACGTCAAGGTAGACCCCCCTAAGCGGGTCCTACACTGACCCTTTAGCCTGCTTCCTTGAGTTTCTGGCAAAGATATCTCTAATGAGACAGAGGGGTATTTTTTATATACACCCCTATATACTTATTAACCCTTAATAGGGAACACATGGGATGGGCGGCAGCATTGTAACAAGGCTGTGTGATACAAAGTAAATGTAAATACAAAAAGATAAGTCCTGTGCTCACTCCCATCACTACTGGGCCGGCAGCAATGACTACAGTGCACATCAGCCCCAATATATAGTAAAAACCAAAGAAAAGAAAAAGTTACCTGCGCTCTCTCCTTAATCCCCATGTATATCTAGACAAATGGAGGTAATTTAGCTGCTCAAATGGCCATCGGAGGGAATGCCCGCCTGCCAACGTCAAGAGTGACACAAAAGGCAAGGATAGTATTAGACTAGTGACAGTTGCAGAAGAGGAATCAGTCAGGAGCTATTAACAGTTTAATTGATACGCTTTTATGAAGAAGTGGGTTTTTAACGATTTTTTGAAGGAGTGGAAACTGGGTGAGCATCTAATGGAGGAGGGAAGTGAGTTCCACAGGAACAGTGCAGCCCTCGAGAAACCTTGAACGCGAGCATCAGAAGTGGGAGTATGGACAGAAGATAGACGTAAGTCTTCAGCAGAGCGTAAGGGCCTAGACGGGACATACTTGTGTATTAGGGAGTACAGATAGGTGGGAGCAGCATTATGTAGAGATTTGAAAGCAAGAACCAGAATTTTAAATTGAGCCCTACATCTTACAGGAAGCCAATGTAGGGATTGACAGAAAGGTGAGGCATGGGATACTATTTTATTGTATGGAATAAAATAGGATTTCTTAAGGTTCAGTAACAATTTCATCTAAAAATAAAACTTCTGCCCTCCTCCCCCCACACACACGCTTGACGTGACTGATCAACTCCTATTTGAAATCCCTTGTTTGTAAACTGCATTAAACACTGTATCCATAAACTAATTTATAATAAACAAGTGTGGGCAAGTTTGCGTGAAAAACATCTGCTACAAACACATCTATAAACTCAACACAACATTTTGGAATATTACATGACAAAACTTTATTAGAATTAATATTATCAATTATCTATACAGCGGTAGAAAATTCTACAGCAATTGGTGCATTTAAAATCGATTGACAGACAGAGACCAGTATGAACAACTCCTGGCTACAAATAAACTTGCACAGTTATTCATTTAAGTGAGAAGTCTTGTGAATTTCAAATTTAAGGCCAAAATAGTTGAACTAAAACAATTCTCCAAGTCACCATTCAGTTTGCTTATTTTGGCCTCAAATTTGAATTACTGACAATTCTGACTTTAGAGAATAACCCTATAATTAATATTATCATCCATTAAACATGGTGCCAACAAATTTGGCAGAGCTGGACATATTGAGTAAATGTTATAATAATTAGTTTACCATAAATAAGCCAAAACATCTGTTTATAAGAGCTTAGTGTGCAGGTTTAACACAAGAAATAATTTAATTCTTAATCTTTTTACCTTAAAGGACCACTATATAGGCACCCAGACCACTTCAGCTTAATGAAGTGGTCTGGGTGCCAGGTCCAGCTAGGATTAACCCTTTCTTCTATAAACATAGCAGTTTCAGAGAAACTGCTATGTTTATAAATGGGTTAATCCAGCCTCTAGTGGCTGTCTCATTGACAGCCGCTAGAGGCGCTTCCGCGCTTCTCACTGTGATTTTCACAGTGAGAAGACGCCAGCGTCCATAGGAAAGCATTATGAATGCTTTCCTATGGAGTGGCTGAATGCGCGCGCGGCTTGTGCCGCGAATGCGCATTCAGCCGATGACGTCGCTATGGAGGAGGAGAGGAGGAGGAGAGTCCCCCGCCTGGCGCTGGAGAAAGAGGTAAGTTTAACCCCTTCCACCCCCTAGAGCCCGGCGGGACGGGGAACTCAGGGGGGCACCCTCAGGGCACTATAGTACCAGGAAAACAAGTATGTTTTCCTGTACTATAGTGGTCCTTTAAGCATAGGATTGCTGCCTACAGATACGTGGCAATAAATGCATCTCTCCTCTAATCTTATCACTCAGAGCTGGAACTTACTGCTGAGATCCAAATGCAAACAAGTATTATGTATATAGTGCAATATATATAGTAAGCTATGTGTAAAAGTGGTAGAATTGCTTTTAAAAATGATTACTGTTTATTAAGCACACTACACCCACCCCTCCAATTAAGACGTGATAATGTGGATGTTAATTTTCTCATTATCTGTTGAAATTTTTTTTTGCAGTTAATAGTATTGGTTGCAGTGCTTGCAGTGCTTGGAGTGTCCCTTTAAATACAAGAGCCCTAAGTGGCATGCTTGCATTTTTACATCCTTGATTGGCCTCTCTCGTCACTCTCTCAATAGGAAAGAAAGCAATATAAATATTATAAATCCAGCACACTATTAGAAAGGTTCATTTACTGTTATGTTAATGTTAATGAGTCTTTTGCAGTTGCACAGAGAGTTCCGCATCAGTCAAACAGATGAAGAGATTCAAGCTGTCTCTCTCCAGGCTGATCCGTAGGTATTCACTGAAGTTGACAAGATGTATCAGAAAATGGGTAAGTAAGAGAACTGAATGACTGGATGAAAAAAGATATCACACAAAAACAACGCTGCAAGATGCAAAACCTAAACAAGCATTAAAAAACCCCCCTAAGTATACAGGTATCAATAGGTAGATAAATCATGTTTTAAGACTAGGACATCTCTGCCCAAAATCAGTAGGCATTATGAAATACAGTATAAAAAAAAAAAAAGAAAAGAAGGGAATTGGAGGCACCCCAGAACATGCATTTCTCAGCAATGGTGCTGCCGTAGAGACCAAAATATAAACAAAATACAGATTGGTGAATTTTAAGTGAAAATAACCATTTTAAAAATATGATATAAACTCCACAGTTTATGTCAATCAGTCTGCATACAACAATGTAAGATGTGTGTCAGTGTCTGAATGTCCTTCATTCTTTGTGTATCCACATCTGTGTGTCTGTCTGTAGCATGCAAAAAAAAGGGGGATAAGGGGCACTCCCGGAACACGCATTTCTCAGGGGTGGTGTGCCCGTGAAGACCAAAATGTATACAAAAAAACAGATTAAGGAACATATGGCCATTGAATCCCCGTATTTGTTTGCTGAGGTAGGTGATTTTAACCCCTTAAGGACACATGACATGTGTGACATGTCATGATTCCCTTTTATTCCAGAAGTTTGGTCCTTAAGGGGTTAAGCAGCCTTATAAAATGTTAAACTGTATTTTTGTGTGTTTAATGTCCCTTAACCTGTATGACATTAGTGAAATATGTCAGAAGAGGAGCCGAGGAGACAGAAACAGCACACATCTGTCTCCACAGCTGCTCTCCTGGTTTATCATTACCTGGGGAAGGACACATTGATTATGACAGATATAAAAAAACATCAGCTGCATAGGAGTGTAACTCCCACCTATCACAGGCACACCCGGACATGTTCCTTATAATTAAAAAATTCTGCCCCCCCAAAAAAATATCAAATAGTTGTATTCTGACAAAGTACCCCTTAAGGGTAAGCAATGCTTGGCGTTCATAACATGACATTGCAAACAATGTCTCCAGAACCTCTCAATTACATTATTTCCCAGAATCCTGTGTTAAATCCTATATGTCTTGTATCCAGGTTTAATCTTGCAGCATGCCATTCTGCACACTGCTGTTCTAAAGAGGTTACCTGCATATTCATGAATTTTCTACCAGCGTGTGTGAGACTGGCCATTCTGCTGTGATGTCTCCATTAAGGTGTTTTCACAGAATGAAATGTCATCCACTGGATGTTTATGTTTCTCTTACCATTTACTGTAAACTCTAGAGAACGGATTGCATGAGAATCCCAGGAGATCAACTGTTTCGGAGAAGCTGGAACCACCATGTCTAATATCAATTATCATACGATCGTCAAAATGTCAAAATTGCTTAGTTTATTGCTCTTCGGTAATTAAATATTTGGTTGCAACTAAACCATTAGCCCATATCAGCACGCTTCTTATAAAGCTGTTTAATGTTTAGCTAAATTGATCTACTTTAACTTATTAAAGTGGCCACTGAGTATATAGTTAGTTATACATTTCTAGGCAGACAGACAGATGGACAGAGAAACAGACGGATGAACGTACACACAGACAAACAGACAGACAGATAGGTAGAGAAACATGCAGATGAACAGACATACAGGCAGATGAACAGACAGACAGACAGAGAGAGAGAGAGAGCGATAGATAGATAGAAGGATAACATATTGTAAACTAGTAGCTACTTTTCCAACTAGGGAACTGTTTGAGCTAGACACAGAATGAGACCCTTGGAGCCTTTTTATGCTGACAAGGTTACTGTGTAAATTAGGCAGACAGATTAATCTGGCTGCTAGCAGGGCACCTGCAGAGCTAGACGGTCATTCCCAGGAAACACTGCGCTAAATGAAAAGTGAGAGATTGCTAATGGCAATTTTCTAAAGGATATACAGTCTAATGAGGACTGGAATTGTAACGGTTGGGTCAAAATAGCTCAAATGTAAACATTCTGCTACTTGGCTGTTTCCAGTTCAACCATTTGGACCTAAAACATGTTGTTTCCTTGTCAATATGCCACAATTCCCAGTTAAAGGGACACTTCACTGCCCAAATAATTTTTTTTTAAAAATTACTGTTTAGTAGATATACCCCAAATGAAAACAGGCATGTGTGGTCAACATACCCTCGCTACGGGCTCCTGGAGGAGTCTGGTTGCCAGCGTCCTGCCTCAGGACTATGGGCCCTGCAAGATACCTTGTAAAATACACTTTAAAAGGCTCTGTTATGAGCTCTGTGTGATTTGGATTATATTGTTCGGGAACTGAACAACCGCACGAATCAGACACCACCCGTGTGCTTGTTAAGCCCAATTGACACCTCGTATCGAGTTCCACCGCAGTGTTCTAATTGTTCGTCTGGGTGGCCGCATTTCGTATGAACGACCACAAGGTGGCGGCCATCTTGTTCCCGTGAACGCATTGAGCGATGTTGGTCATCGAGCTCATGGAACTGAAATCGGACACTGACACTCACGAACACCGCTGGAGTTCCATCATCTCCTGCGTTCGGTTCTATACAACTTGGAAGGGCAGTGTTCGGTGGAATCATTCCAACGAACAAGGTGAAAAAGTTACATGGCTTAACTATGGATTCCGTTCGGTATTTTATGTACGTTTGGACTCCCAAAAAAGACCAACTGTTAGCACTGATTCATGGAACTGTTTTGGGGATAGGACCATGTGCACGGTCGGTCAAATAATTGACTTCCATGGAAATCCCGAACCCCTGAACCGATCTTGGTGATTTTTGGATATGTTGGGCACCCATATCGGGTCTATAAGGGGGTGTAACTTTTGTGTGATTTTCATATGTTTTGGAGGTATTTTGGGGTGTTTTATAAATTGTTTGTTTTTTGTACCTGAGAGATAATTTAATTATATGTGTGCTTCTCAGATAATTATCTCTCAGGCACAAAGGATCATGGGAGGGATTCGAGTTACACCGCAGTGTTCTAATTGTTCATCTGGGTGGCCACATTTTGTATGAATGACCACGAGGTGGCGGCCATCTTGTTCCAGGGAATGCAGCCAGAGGTGTTTGGGCGTTGAGCTCATGGAACTGAAATCGGACACTGAAACTTCCAAACACCACTGGACTTCCATCATTGCCTGTATTCGTTTCTATACAACTTGGAAGGGCACTGTTCGGTGGAATCATTCCCACGAACAAGGTGAACAAGTTACACGGGTTAACTATGGATTCCATTTGGTATTTTATGCACTTTTGGACTCCCGAAAGAGACTGACCGTTAGCACTGATTTCATGGAACTATTTTGGGCATAGGACCATGTGCACAGTCGGTCAAATAATTGACTTCCATGGAAATCCTGAACCCCAGAACCGATCTGGGTGATTTTTGGATATGTTGTTCACCCAGATCGGGACTATCAGGGGATGTAACTTTTGTGGGGTTTTATAAATTGTATATTTTTTGTACCTGAGAGATAATTGAATTATATGTTTGCTTCTTAGATATCCTTGTGTAAGAAATCCCTTGCATGGGCTATTGCATAAAAAGGCCGTGTGTGGCCCTGGAATAAACAGACTACTTCCCAGCATTAAGCCTTGGCTCATGTGTGGGGGGGGGATTACTATACTGCTATTTGGATTACTATATTTGCTATACTTTCTTGGAGGAGAGGTCTTCTCACTGGGAGGTGGATCTAGATGTTGGTCCAGGGTGGGAAGGGACGGCAAGACCCCAGCCAAGCTGCGGTGGCTAAGGGGACTACAGTGGTTATGGTGTCTGGTGTGGTGCTTATAGTACTCAGTGATACTAGGAAGTGCGATTGGTGGAGGTACCCAGTCTGGGTGCCAGGCGGTCTGCCACAGCATGTATTTAATAATACATTTTGTCATTGGAGGTTTATCTAAAAACAAAATCTCTTGTATGCAGCCTTTACAAGCACTCCTCTTCTAACCCCGCCCAGACTTTCTGTAACTGTCCAATCACAGACTTCCCAATGCAGCTCAATGAGTCAATGAGAAGTCTTTGCAAAGAAGGTGCTCTGAGCTATTGCTGCTTGTTGAGTTTAATTCCACTGAGTCCACCAAACCAGGAAGTAACAGGACCGCTTACCTGATTGACAGCCAAGGAGGGTGTAACAAGTATAATTTATAAAAGTGTAAATTTCTTTTAAAATCTGTACCTTTTGTAAAATAAAAAAGTTTTAAAAAAATAAAAAAAATAACAAACTATAAACTTTACTTAAAGCGATGCAAAGATATAGTTGTTTTTTATTTTGTAATTCAAGAAGGAATTAATTGAAATTCACTTAAAGGTGCAGGAAAAGACTGACTTGTTGAATGTGGAGGGTAATTTGGCAAGGCAAACTGGTGTAACTTTCTGGCACACCGCTCGATCACACCTTTGAGATTTAAGTTCTGAATTGCAGCAAACGTAAAGCGTTTAGGTAAAAATAGCTTCAGTTCTGTACAGATATTGTACTGGCTATTCCATCCTAAATGTTGCCAGTTATATTTCCATTCACTACAGTATGGAGTTTAGTGAATAAGTCAATGTGTTGTTTTGTTTTGTTTAGAGTAACGTACAGTAGCCTCGTACCGAAGAGAACTGATGTGTAATATATGCTATGGGTTGCGTTCTTCATTTTTATTTAAAAAGTATTTTACTTCCCCAGGTATCGAGTTTGCAATCCCCAAAGGCTAAATGCATTGATTTTCCTATCGTCTCAGGGCAGAAGCCGTGTGGGCCTTTTGTTTTTGGCTGCAGTAATTTGCAAACAATATCAGCATGCCATGATCTTATTGTAATAAATATAGATTAATCATGTGTGCTACATCAAAGAAGAAATTTAGAATTTCAGAGAGAAGAGGTTTTTAAGCAGACACACCTTTCATGGTTTGGTCGAAGTCTTACTCAAGTGTGACTTAGTGAACTGTGAGCAAACCCAGACACATCATCTATCTCTTGTACTGTGTTTTATTGTCCTCTTCAGTATAGCCAACATCAATCAGAATTGTATCCAACGCTGTATAGCAGTGAACTCAATGCTCAGATCTTACATACTGTGAACAAACATATGATTTATGAGAATAAAATTAATCTGTGTGAGTTTCCTTCATTCATTCCTCTCTTCCTTTTTTCCTTCTGCCCTCTCTTCCTTCCTTCCTCCCTCCCTTCCTCCCCATCTTCCTCCCTTCCTCCCACTCTTCCTTCCTTCTATATTCCTCTCTTCCTTCCTACCTCCCTCCCTCTCTTCCTTCCTTTCTGCCTTCCTTACTCTCTTCCTTCCACCCTCTCTTCCTACCTCTTGTCCTTCCATCCTCCCTTTCTTCCTTTCTTTCTAACCCTTCTTTCCTTCTGCCCTCTTTTCCTTCCTTTTTCCCTTCCTTCCTCCCTCCCTCAAATCCCTTCCTCTCTTTCTTACTTCCTCCCTCACTACATCTATTTCTTCCATCATCCCTCCTTCTCTTCCTTCCTTTATCCCTCTCTTCTTTCCTTCCTTTCTTCCTTCCTTCCTTCCTTTCTCTCATCCTTCCTCCCTCTCTTCCTTCCATCCTCCCTATATTCCTTCCTTATTTTCTTCCTTCCTCCCTTCCTTCAACTTTTCCTTCTTTCCTACTTTCCTCCCTTCCTTTCTTCCTCTTTTCCTTCCGCCCTCTTGTCCTTCCATCCTCCCTTTCTTCCTTCCTTTCTTACTCTCTTCCTTCTTTCCTTCTGCCCTCTTTTCCTTCCTTTCTCCCTCCCTTCCTCCTCCACTTCCTTCCTCCCTCCCTCCCTCCCTTCCCTCTCTCTTTCCTTTCCTTCCTCCCTCCCTACCTCTCTTCATTCCTTCCTCCATCTCTGCCTTCCACCGTCCCTCCATCTCTTCATTCCCCTTTTCCATCCTCCTTCTCTTCTTTCCACCCTCCCTCTCATCCTTCCTTGCTTCCACCCTCCCTCTCTTTCTTCTGTCTTCTATTCCTTCCTTCCTTCCTCTCTCTCTCCCTTCCTTTCTTCCTCCCTTCTTTCCTTCCTTCCGTTTTTAAATTTGAAATTAGTCTTGGTTGGTTGGTAGAGAGCTGAAGATAATGTGGAGCACGGCTCCTGTAATAAATTGTGTTTATATTATAACACAATCTGCAGTTTTTCAGTTACTAAGTGGGTCAGTTAGTTTTCCTGGTAACAGGAATATAGACTGCATGATCTGCAATCATGTTATACGCCAATGTGAAAAAGATCTAGAGGTCCTTATTATCAGGACACGGTGCCATTGTAAATATGATTTTTAGCTAATAATTTTCTTTGGAAATCTGCCGTCTTAGGGTTTCTTTTTCCAATTAAGACTTTATGTGAAATGTAATAGCAGAGAAAGTACTTATTACGAGTATTGATTGCGATGTCCGTCTATCTGCAGCCACACTTAAAACCTTTAATGATGGAAGAATGAGCAAAGTGTTGGGTAGCACTCTGTTATGGTACAGGAAGAGTTAAAACAACCTGAATCTTCTATTACAGCATTTAGAACAATTGTAAAGGTAATCATTTTAGCTTCCTTATAAAGTATTCATTATCTTCATTCAAACAGCAATAAGACATAACAGATGGTAATTATTTGGCGCACAGGAATCCAGAATAAGCATTCTATAAACCCCTAATGGCACTTGCAGAAACTACATATATGTATTTTAACATTAGTATTTTTTTTTTAAGTAAAGCTTAGATGCAAATAATCTCCTGGTGTACACCTAAGACAAGGAGAAACCAATGCTGGCACAGGTAGCGTGTTAGTCAATAGGTGTGCATAATAACCTATAATGTATAACCATCAGCCATCAGCAATCACCTTGCTCTGCGCATGCACGGAATGCTGTGTGTTCTGAAGACAGCACAATCTTCGATGTACGTAGTTTTTCTAGCTGAAGTTTTCAGTAATTTCCTCTGGTTTCCCAAAGTACCAGAAATTGGGGAAATAACCTGAGGTAGCGTAAGATAGACCTGTGGCATTATGACAAGTAATCAGCTCCAACGTATCTATAGCTACCTCGTGGGTTTTCTTTTATTTAAACATCTCAATCCATAAGATCTGCAGCTGGGCACTTACATTTTTCAACATTACATCTAACGTAAAACACACACAGGAAATTAAAACGCATCACATACAATATTAGCTAATTATGTTATTTGAATATTATCTAGTAACTAATATATCGCTGATGTACATTTATCAATAAGTTTTAATAAAAAGTTATTTGTCCTTCAAACTACAGCAATACCCTTGATCTCCTGGGACTTGACGTCCCTTGAAACATTGTAACTATCTGAGCATCATCAACAAGGAAAGGCACCTTAGTTAATTAAATTAGTGCTCAGTGATAAATTTCACAATGTGCTATTTATTTGGACTGTCAATGTACTCTGCCATTTAGGTGACTATTACGAATGATGTTCGCTAAGTGTTGTAAGTCCTTCCCGGCTGACAGCATGTTGATGGTGTTTTTTTTTTCCATATTCCATTAAGGTAATACTCAACTTAATGAGGCTACAGTTTTACCTAGTAACAAATTGTCTAGACAATAAATAAAAAAAACTTTTCACTTATAATTAATATCGGCAATTATCGTTGTTTTATGTTGGTCCTGGCTCGCAAGAATTACAAGTATCTGAAACAGAACATCTACAGAATTCTAATTCTATTTGGCAAAAGCGTAGAGTCGTTTTAAAAGGTTTCATCTGCTTACACGTGATTTTAAATTGCACCAAAAGGTCCACTAATTCTACACTCTTTTTTTTCTATAACATGATCATATAATAAATAAATAACGTAATTCTATTAGCGGAACTGCATTGAAATGATTAAACAGAAACATTTGGTAACATACAAGTTCATTCCATAAGAACATTCTGAAGTATTCTCATCCCCAGTAAGACTCAAATAACAGAAATGAGCAACGTCATGTATGGTTTTCTGGTCCTTTAATTGTGTAGTCCTATTCGCAGGCTTCCCTAAACAAAGAAACTCTAGCACATAATTATTGTTTCCGCACGCTTCCCTAAACTCCGGCTCTCCAGATGTTGCTGAACTACTACTCCCATGATTCTATGAAAGAACTAGATAGGCTGAGCATCATGGGAGTTGTAGTTCAGTAACATCTGGAAGGCCGGAGTTTAGGGAAGCCTACGGAAATAATAATTATGTGCTAGGGTTTCTTTGTAAACTAGTAAGCGGATGTATGCATACAAGAGAGAAAGACCGACAGACACATGGATAGACAGACTGCCCCATTAAATTATCTTCTTTGTCCCATGACTGTATTATTTCTATAAAACTGTTATAGCCCCTCTTAAAAAAAAAGCCATTTTGGCAGCATTGTGTCCTATTGATTTCACTGGGGTTCATTTCTTGCGTCCAAATTCGTTTAATTACCACCTTCAATGGGAAATTAACTAATGTTATCGAGAGCAAATCGTGTGCCGTAGTACAATTTAACTGAATAAATAAAATGTTAGAAATTGAACAGAATAAATAAGCTATGTAAAACATTATTTGCATAAAATGCCTAGTATGTGCCCTTCCAAAAGGTATCTGTGATGTCAAAGGGAATTTGTGTTTTAAATCACATTATTTTATGTTGTACGTTACTTATAAAGTTCACCTTTTTTGAGTATTTACGGTTTATTCAATAACAGTAGAGTTTTTTTTTTGTTTTGTTTTTACCTGGGACTTGTGGAAAGATAACAAGGTAGTTGCAACTTTTATGTCAAAACAAAGAATTGGACAAATTCTTCAAATCAGTAACTTTTTCCTGCTCATTTATTGTCAGTTTCTATAAACCTCAATTAAATGAAAAAATCAAATCCAACTCTGTCATTTTGTAACCTAACACCCCCCCAAAATCCAATCCTAAATGATTTTTTTTTATCATTTCCATGAAGCCTGTTGGGAAAAATATGTTTAAAACCATAATCTTTCAGTGATATTTTGTTTGACTTGGGTGTTAAACTAAAGTAAAGAGTTCATACAATCCATCTGCTTTTGATACCAATCTGATTTGGAAATTGGCCAAATGGCTATGAGAGTTCCTACTTTGCTTATATGGAACAATTCTGTTATGTCTTATAAATTAATCGACTGCTGAACTGAAAATAAACGTGGTCACACAAGGAACATCCCAGGGAGGTATGCAGACAAACTGCCTTTATAAAAAAATGTACAATTTCTGGAGAAAAAGATGTATATCTCTGTATGTTTTCCTGTGTGTTATACAGAATACCTACTCACTGATTCCTAACAGAATTCAATGTATTTGCACCTAGTGCATCCTTGTGTTAAAGAGAATATTTAAATTATATATATTTTTTTTTTTAGTGCATGAAAAGCCTTTTGTGACTATCATGCATTATACGTGAATAAGTAACTGAATTAATTACAGATTAGTGAGTAAGGGATCATGTGATGGGATGCAAACTCAGTGACAATATGATTTGACAATAACTGGTTGGGAGATGCTGCGTGAGTGATGCTAGACAAAGGACGACAATCAGAACTCGGAAAAAATGGATGATTAAGAGTTATATTTCATTTACGGGCATTACATATAAAATTAATAAAAAAAATATTTATTCATCATTTCTTATATAGAGATCTGATCCAGAGATCTTTACAATTAATATTATGTATTCTTTTAGCTTGTGGAATAAACAAATTAAACAAAAGTAGTAGAGACTTTGTAAGACCAATAAAAAGAAATGTATTCAATGACACAGAAGGTAACAGCGAATAGAAACAGTGTGAGAAGTATCAGATATGAGCAATTGAAGAATTGGACTAATCATTGATTGACATTGGGTTTATTCACATTAATACGTATGGGAAATAAATTAAAGTGAGACCAGGGTGGGTGGGCAAAAGGAGAGTGGTACAATAAGTGGTAAATCCACCCTCAAATGCCGATTTACATTTATGCACCAATGACAATCAATGTCACCATTGCAATCTGGCCCATGCAGACCATGTGATGTAAAGAATGGCTTGAATATTTACCCCTATAGAGTAAGGTAACAGAGTCTTTTGGTGACCAGACTGTAATGACAATGCCACATAAATAATAAATACACCCACTCCATGTAAATTCAAATATTTGTACAAAAGTGTATCACACTGACACTACAAAAGAACCATGCTTTAATTTAGCAGGTCATCATGCCGGACAAGAAAGAAATACAATTCTTTGATTCCCTTAGAGCTTTGACATACTTAACAAAGTGATTTTATTTTGAATCTTTGATTTAATTGATAGTATAATGTCGGTTGATTAAAGATTTGGTCTTTCTGTAGATTCAGTGTGATGCCCATTCCTTCGAACTGCGGTGTTAGCATATTACCATCACTGATCCTTTGTAAGTTATTCTTATAAAACAAATTTATCACAACAAAAAATATTATACACACAGGGGAAACTAGTGGAATGGTAACACATCATAGCTGCTTATTTTGAGCAAACTGGTTATGTAAGTTTTTATAAGCCTTTAGAGAAAGAAACAGCTACAATTTGAATCAAATTATGATAAAACATGACATAAATAAGCTACAAATATATACAAGATGGCTGTAAAATAAACTATTCGAAGAACGGTGTAATAGTTCTTCCTTCTGTTTGAATTGATTTTCAATAGTTGTCCAAGATCTCCTCATTCCATTTTAGAACACAGAGTATGAAAATAGGAACAGAATTGTCAAGACAAACAAAATCTCAAAGAGACATACCTTATATACTCGAGTACAAGTCGAGTTTTTCAGCACATTTTTTGCGCTGAAAAACCCCCACTCGACTTATACTCGAGTTAATGTCAGTATTATGGCAATTTACATTGCCATAATACAGACCAGGACCGCCGGGCTCATTACAAGCCCGGCGGTCCTGTTGGGGGCTGACAGTGAGCTGTTACTTACCTTCCTGCAGCTCCTCTCAGCTCCCTTCTCCTCCATGCAGCTCCTCTGTCAGCTCCCACTGTAAGTCTCGCGAGAGCGGGGTCACCGCGGCTCTCGCGAGACTTCCAGTGGGAGCTGACAGGAGCTGCAGGAAGGTAAGTAACCGCTCACTGTCAGCCCCCCCTCCTACTCAGCCCATCCACTGGACCACCAGGGAGTGAGAGCCCCCCTCCCTGGCAAGCTAACAAGCAGGGAGGGGGGACGAAAACTAAATTAAATGATAAAAAAAAATAAAAAAAAAATAAATAAAAAACTTAAAATATTAAAATAAAATAAAAAACTTAAAATATTAAAATAAAAATGTATAATAAAAATGCCCTCCTCCCACCCAGTTCACACACACACACACACACACACACACACACTCATACAAACACACACTCTGCATTATATACACACACACTCATACAAACAATCTGCATTCTACACACACACTCATACAAACACACACACACACTCTGCATTATATACACACAGAGTGTGTGCGTATATAATGTAGAGTGTGTGTGTGTTTGTATGAGTGTGTGTGTAGAATGCAGATTGTTTGTATGAGTGTGTGTGTATATAATGCAGAGTGTGTGTTTGTATGAGTGTGTGTGTGTATAATGCAGTGTGTGTTTGTATGAGTGTGTGTGTGTATATAATTCTAAAAATCACAGAATTTCATAGCCCCAAGTTTTACCCTCGACTTATCCACGAGGCACAGCACAATTGTTGGTCACAAAACTGCCCTCGACTTATACATGAGATCGACTTATACACGAGTATATACGGTAAGTGAAAGTTTGTTTGATAAGTCGAGTTATGGAATCAGCTACCAACAACCACGGCTTGCAGGACTGTCGTAAGATGAATGAACAGAATTATTATTGGATTATCGCTGCTAATGATGCTGCTGGAATCTTGTAGCACCCCTGGAGGAAGAAAATGGATACTACAAGACACTCAGGTCCAGTCAAACCAGTAAAGGCATATCCTGATGCAGGTCCAAAATCCGAGAGCATGATGCTTTGTGCTTATATTCATTCTACAGATGGGTAGCCTGTTCCCCCAATAATAGATGGCAAGAGAGACACAAACAGGTCTCCTCATGTATCCCCTGTAGGGGGATGATCATTGCAGGCTTAACAACTGAAGTCTTGGATTAATGCCAAGTGCATTAGATAAGGAACATAAAATGTTTATTTATCCATCTCTGTGTTGTTTAATAAACATAATGCAAAGTATTTCCTACTTTATCTTATGGTATTTTTGGATTAAATTGAAATTTCAATCCAGGCAGCATGAGTTTATCATAAAGATTATATGTTTACGAAATGCTGAGTGGTGAGACCACTTCAAAGTCTCAGGAGGGTTGTTTGTTTTGTTAAAAAGAAAAAAAAAAAGTTTTAATTTTTTAATTGAAAAGGTGAGTAGATATTAAATATATTCCGGTTATTTGAAATACAACAGAAAAACTACTTATTCATCTCTCCTGATTATCCAGCTGTGCGTCACATACTAAGGGTTTGATTTGTTGTGCATCGAATTTCATATGGTGAAAATCAGGATAAAATGTTCTTTAATTCCTTACAATTTCCAGAAGGGGTGATCCTGTGGAGTCCACTTTTTGTTATATTTAGCAGTATGAATGTTTACCAAGATATGTATTTGGTTAGGACATTAAAGGGACACTCCAGGCACCCAGACCACTTCAGCCCATTTATAAACTGCAATAATTGCCTTGCAGGTTTAAGTCCTCCTCTAGTGGCTGTCTATCAGACAGCCACTAGAGGGACTTCCGGTTTCTTAGAACACGAAAAGTGTTTTAAATGACGTTGGACATCCTCACGCTATGCATGAGGACCTCCAGCATCACCAGAACCCCCATAGGAAAACATTGAATAATGCTTTCCTATGAAGAGGTCTAAGGCACGTGCGCGGCCATTGCTGCGTGGCCATTGCTGCGCATGCGCATTAGATCTCCCACGTCGGCTGACTTCAGTGGGGGGAGGAGCGTGGGTGGAGCAGCAGGACTAAGACTGCCTCTAGTGGCTACGGGATCCTGCAGTGGCAGGAAAACGGGTTTGTTTTCCTGGCACTGGAGAGTCCCTTTAATAGGAGATTGTGGGGACACTCTGGGGTTTGTTTTCTAAATAACATATTGCAGTGAACTGAAAATTGCATTAAAGAATAGCATTATTGATACTATAGTTTATGAGGAATGTAGACTTTTTAACTATGTTATTTGCTTTAGATATTTTATTACAAACCAAAAATAAACATGATATCTCAAAGATTTTGCAAGCAAAAGCTTGCCATAAGAAACAGTTAGTTGTTGGAAAATGTAAAGAATTAAAATAGATGTTGGATCAAGTAATGAATAAAGCCAAGTCAAACCATTCTATTATATAATATGCAACGCATAAATTAAATTCTTACAGCGCCACAAAAGAAACGCTTGGTCACCATTAAATGTGATTTCAGGAAAAGATCCCAAGATGTGGACGAGGTAATGTAGATATGAGCAGGAATCACCCCCTGACTTAATACATTATATATAGACGATGCATTAAAAATGCAACTAATAGACTTACATTGAAAAAGATCCCTTAAAAGTTCCTTCTGTCTGTAGCAAGTACAAGATCCTCCGATCAGGATTATGCAAAGTTTTTCTTATCCCATAAACACTTGTCCAGCAGGGATTAATGGGATATGCAGTTTAAATCACAGCCTAAGTAGTTGTTTAGCATGGCTCCTAGAATTTAAAATCCAAACTCACAGATTAAATAAACATATATGGATTATTAAAACATTAAATGCTAATCATTAACATTCTGATATGTTACAGAAATCTATCCTATCAATTGTATATGTACTACTAACATTTGTTAAAGATTTAGAAATATATATATATATTTATAAAAAAAGTTTCAATGTCCAGATGTATTTATTTTAAAGGGACACTATAGGCACCCAGACCACTTCAGCTCATTGAAGTGGTCTGTTTACAGTGTTCCTGTCTCCCTTAGTCCTGCAATGTAAAACATTGCAGCTTAAGAGAACCTGCAAAATTACTTTGCAGGACTAAGACTGCCTCTAGTGGCTGTCAATCAGACAGCGACCAAAGGCGCTTCTGGGATTTTACAGGACCGTAGGTCTAACTGATGCTGAACGTCCAGTGTCAGTGTCAGTAAAATTCCTATAGTAAACCATTGACTCAACTCTTTCCTATGGAGAGGGCCTAATGTGCCTGCAGAGCTTACCGCATGCATGTGAGCCCCCTCCACATGTCGGAGCACAGACCCAGCACCGAGAGACATTGGCGCTGGAATCAGGTACGTGAGTAAATGTTTTTTAACCCGTTATACGCCGGGGGGACCAGAGGGCTCTATAATGTAAGAATAAGGTTTGTATTTCAAACACTATAGAATCCCTTTAACATAAATGGATCTACACATATATTTATAATAATATTAGGGACCATAAGATATAATATAACAATATTGCGTCTTGCTTAGCAGCTTGGACTGTTTCTTCTGTTCTGATCGCCTTAGTTAAATGAGAGGAAGAAATTCTTTAGCTGAATGTTTTTGCATGTTTAAGCAGGATTTCTGTTTTGGTTGGCTCGACAAATAAAATATAAACAGAAAAATACAGAAATCAGCATGAACACGTGGTACCGGCTTTGGTACAACTCTGAGCCGAATCCAGGCATGTGACTAAATGACTTCTACTTTACCGACTGCTATAGAAAGGTTTTGCCAGAGGATTGAAGAAACAAGAGGGCTTGCCAAATACAGTTTAGACCCACCAGTAAAATGAGGTCATTTTAATTAAACAGAAAGGTAAGGACATTATTGTAAATCTGTATGAAATACTGCTTGGATTGAAGCATCTAATTAAAACGGTCTTAAAAAGATGGTGAGGCTTCATATTAAAGCAAGGGATCGTTATTTACGGGAATTGTTAACAAATATATCAGGCCATATTTAGCCAAACTTATCAGGTTAACCAGTGTAGGATATGGTTGGATTGTCCTGTTAGACAGACTCACTGACATTGGGAACATGAAAACTTACTCTTAGAACACCTTCATAACCTTGTTTAATATGATTTCTTGGAAGCACTGGGCAGGGGCAGGAGGGAGAGAGGGGGGGGGCTGCATTCTTTCATTTCAAAACTGATTTAAAATTGTAAATTAAATGTATTTTATGTGTCTCTATTATTCAAAAACACAAGATCAGTTATACTGATAAACATGAAAAATAAATACATGTTTTTTTGTTTTGACATAAAATGGATCAACAATGCTTGAAAATGTGAAATTCTAAGCACGGCAATCTAAGGATAATATAACAGATGTCCTGATGGGTTTATACTTATTATATTAGCCGTTACATATATATACATATAAAAAAAAAAATACCAAAATCCCCTGCACTCACGCTTGTGGTATTCCAATGCCGCACTACCAGAGCTCCAATAGGTACAACATCCAACAAGAAAGGCTGCTCTCCGGACTTAAAATGAAAATTTATTGTAATAATTAAAAAATAACGACCAACGTTTCAGTCCCCGATTGGGACCTTCCTCAGGGTCAAAGATAACAGCTTTCATCAGGATAAAATATGAGAGTTTTTAATTGGATTGAATAAAAGTTCAATTATTTTTGAAAATCTATGCAAAGTCCTTGGAGTGCAGTCATTTCTGCTATGTCTACATGATTCTTGCCAGACCAGCACCCGGGCACCACACGATTACACCAGGAGTGCAAACCCTCGCTATTTATATATAGATATATTAATTTTGTTCATTATTTTATCATAATGAGTTTTGAATACAGTGGTAACCAGAAAAATGTTTCAAGGAGGTGACCAAGGGTGAGATCAAAATAAGAAGCCCGGCGCAGGATCCTTAGTAGAAACGTGTTTCTACACCCATGCTGAGCACCGCAAGTGTAAAAAGAATACTCCATGTACCATAACCACCATAACCACTACAGCGTGCAGTCCAAAAACAGTTTAGTAACGGTTTGACTTTATACCTGGGGTTTGCCAAGCACCATTCCCTGCCTCCTCTCTAGCCAGAAGTTAGTTCTTGGATCTAAGCTAAGGCCAGCAATTATGGCGTTGTTCAGGGGATCTAATGGAAGAGGAAATTCTGGCTCTCCTAGAGGCTGAGGAGCGGGGAGCAGAGCCTTGTATGAAATGGTTCGATTACTTACATCGGGTGCCATCAGGGCTCTCCTGACTCCATGATCACCCCAGCATGCTGTAGATGTCATAGTACTTCTAGTGTTCCTTTAAGAGCTACAAACTTACTGTTTAGTGGTGGTGCCATATCCTCTACCCTGCAGACTTCTGTGCCGACAGACTGAAATTGGGCTAGAAGCATTTGATGTGCAGATGTAATTATGCTTAGTGTACAACTTTGTAGAACAGAAAAGATAAAATGTGCGCTGTGTTGAGCAGCTGGTACAAGCACTTAATCAGTGGTAGTAAAAGTGCCAGTAATTGGGTCAGTATCCAAATTCCTGGGCTGAGAGTAGTAATCAAAAAAATGAAGAAAAATCCCAGAGCAGGAATATGTCGGAATAAGACACAGAAACAGCCTTACACATTAAACGGACTCTCGTAAAAGCCAGTGTTTACTTCACTGTTTACAATCCATCCAGCTTTCTAGGTCAGATCTGATTTTACTGATAGGCACTTTTTTTTAACTTAAATTGGATTTTGTTTATTTGAAACTGAAACATTGGTGCTTGTCGCATTAGATATCGCTACATCTGTACACATGCTTTCGTTAAAGGAAGATCTGCATGCTTGTTTCTGGATGAAGGCAGTGTACCTAACTACTGTCTGGACAGGATGGGGTTAATGGTGAAACATATAAAATCCAGTTATTTAGTGGCCAAGATTACATGCAGTCACTGCAGCATTTGCTCGTGTTCTACGTTCTCATCCTGGGATTTCAGCAGGCAGTATTGGAAGACAGTTTGCTTACTCTTTAAAAGCAGTTAATTCCCAAAGTAATATTAAAATGCACCAGGTAGAATTAGAACATAAAGTATAGGATGGATAGAACAGTATGTGCTCTCGGTGTCCGGGACAGAAAGATCGAACTGTGACGGATGTGGGACAGAATAACCACTGCTTAGAATGTTTAGAAAGTGGAAGACAAAGTATGAGGATTAAAGGACAACAATCACTTCACAGGATTATTCATACAGATGGTCATCACTTACTGACCATGTTCCGTTCTTACGACTTGGTCGTAATCTATGTTTGCGGAAAATTCCCCGAACATAGACGAGCTCTCCAACGTGGAGAATCCCTCAAATCTCTGCGCTAGAGAGCTGGTCATAAATCTGAGCAGTCGCTGGTAAGGTAAGTCGCTAAGTGAAGACTATCTGTATTAGGCTTACTTATCCCCTACATTTCACAAACATGTGCTTTGGAGGTCTGAAAAATAAAATAAATGAAAACTGCTACATTTCTTTATCTTGCAACTGGACTCAGTCATGGTTATAAGCATTGCCCTTTGTTCTTGTCAGTCCGCATAGAGAAAGCATGTAGAGAAAAGGAGAAACCAGACAATGTTTCTATGTATCTTCTTCATTTGCAAAGTGTGCCCTGGATGTGCTTGGGCTAAACTGCTTTGTGATGACATTTGTTAAATCTCTAATATAAATGTAAAAGAAAAGAGCATCACATGAACATAAGATACAGGTGATTTTTTAGAAATGTTATTCAATGTTGTAATTTCCAGAGAGGCGGTAGTTCCCCTTTAACGTTGTTATGAAGTATTACATGTTTGCAATGTCTACAAGTCATATTAAGCAGGTGTCAAGCATGCCTCAATCTGGCTTTAAAACCAGGATAACATTTCAGGACTGTAATATACCTCTGTGGCACAAATTTCCTGAGATGTCACACATTAGATGCTGATACTATTATACAACAGATAATTCCAAAAGTAGGATGGTGTGGCCCTCTAGGCAATAGCTGGTCACAGGTCACCAGCACCCCGGCAGGAGGTCCATAAATGAGGGATCTGCGTCCCCCCACAGTAGAATCAGAATACAGGTGCTCAATAATTACATTTATACAACACAGAATGCGATGTTTTGGCCTATATGGCCTTAGTATGTTAGTACATTACATCACGTGATAATCTACTTCTTGCAAGCTCAGTGTATTTTATTAGTTTACTAGCTGTGCTAGACTCCTGTGTAAACTACAGCTTTCAGCTTCAACAGAGAGTCAGACCTGGCTGGGAATTCTGAGAACTGCTGTCCAGTCCTAGTCTACATATTAAAAGGTCCAAACATACATGCCCCTAGCATGGTAGTAGTGAGTCTTTTCACTGAATGACATTTTTCTATTTCAGTCAGTCTATAGAAACAGCAATGATTTATATTGTCCAAGAAAAGAAACAGCGTTTTTTTTGCACCAAACCACTACATTAATCACTACATTAATCACTACATTAATATGTAGTGGTTTTGGTGCTTAGAGTGTTGCTTTAGATGAATATCACAAGGAAATCTGCATGTAAAGGATCTGGGAAAAGCAACATTTTCAAAACTGTAATATGTAGTAAATGTGACAATCTTCACATGGTTAAAATAATGTAGTTTTTTCAGGCTGCTTATGATAAATGTATTTGCTGTTTGAAGATTAAGATCCATTTGTCAACAATGGGGTCTCACTGAGATCCCTGGTAGTATGACTTCTCAAAGAAAGGTATAGTGCTGGAGCTTTAACCCCTTAAGGACCAAACTTCTGTAATAAAAGGGAATCATGACATGTCACACGTCATGTGTCCTTAAGGGGTTAAAACAAAGATTTTCATCTTTTAAAATGTCATATTCACAAAAGTTTCCTATTTGCAATTCCAACTTTATTGGAATTGTGTGCATGCATGCACGCATGTGCTGTATATTTTACGCAATCTACCTAGTATTTCAATGGGAGGATACATTTATGGACTGCACTGTGGGTTACATAATTTGTCAGTATTATCTTTTGATTCCCTGGATTAATATAATGTCTCCAGAGGATTATAATAAACATATATTATGAGACGTTTAAGGGAATCTGAAGGTATATGAGTAAATAATTGTGCAGCATTTTTAAATTGGGACAATTCTGCTCACAATATAGATTCACAAATTACATTTAAAACTTTAACAGAAAGAAAATAGATACACAGAAAGTAATGAAAACAACAATAAGATAAGAAAGCCCAACTTATTCAATTCTCAAACAGGTCGATTCTGTCCTCTGCATCTCTGCAGTGAGGCTGTGAATGGCAACCCAATCTCTTTTCTATCTCACAAAGTAATCAAAAGCAAAGATTATGTATATTTTAATATTATTAATGTTTTACATTTGCCTGAAATAGTTTTATACATAAAGTTAGTTTTATGCTATGTTTATATACTAGCAATGCATCCGGTGATTTCAAAGAAATGTTATGGCAATTAATTTAAAATAAAAAAAATAAAAACATATTAATGTCTATTTAAATAATGTATTGTATGAATAGGAATAATAAACTACGGACAATTTTTAAAGGTAAAAGAAAATAAATCTCAGGGGTGACAGATTCACTGTAAATCATATATTGTCTACAGCCTTATTAAGCAAAGAAATAAAACATTATAGTGCTCTAGAAAGTGATGGTCACTTAGTAATAACTACTTGACCAATCACTAACAGTCATTCTGTAGATATTGCCATTAAGGCCCTCCAGTAGGTACAATATTTTCAGTGATATCTTTCTTTTCTTCCCATTACTCACTAACAGAATCCTAGGGAGCCAATGTACTAGACCAGGGGTAGGCAACCCTTTGCTCTCCAAGATGTTGTGACCTACATCTCCTCTGATGCTTTGTCAGCATTATGACTGTAGTCCACAACATCTGCCTGCCCCGTACAAAACTCTGCATGTGGCTTTTTTTCAACCCAGATGTGATTAAGCAAAAAATTAAATTTTTTATTGCTGAATATTTAAAAGGACTCTCCAGGCATACGGACAGGGCTATTTAGTAAAGTGAGCTTTTTAAACTTAATTCAAAGTGAATTTCAAAATTTGGGGTCAAAGTATTTATATTTAAAAAATTCTCTAAATCAGTTTTGATTCAAATTCAGGTACTATGGCCTAACATTTGAAATTCTTTTTGAATTCTTACTTGAGTGAATAATTCTGAAAGTTTCTGCAATATGCAACCTGCAACATGTGAAACATTCAGATTTTGATGACAGGATGCCAGGCAAACATACAGATACCCATTTTTTGTAAACCCCTGTTGTATCTAAAGAAGGACCGGGATCGGCTAAAAGAGCATAGACAATGAAGAAGAATCATTTGAGTAGCAACAGAGCCTGTGGTTTGCTATACATCAGCATTTTGGTATGTATGTTTGTGTTATCTCCAAAATACACACAAATGGTGGATAAATCAATGTTGCGGTGTCCCTTTAATGTGGTGTTTTTTTGCATACATGTACAAATACACTTTTAACATCCTGAAGAAAAAGTAAAAAAACAAAATGTTAAATAAGCAGATTTTTTTTCCCCAGCATCTTTATGGTCAATTTAATGGCGTGCTTGTATTAGCAGCAAGGAGAAAGTTTATCAGGCTATATACATTGATGTTACTATTATTTTTGTTGAATCTCAATTACCAAAGGAAACAAACGGCATTAAAGTTTATCTTAGCACATCGTTCTTTACCGATGCAATATAAAAAGGGCAGATAAGTTGCTGGTGGATGTTATTATTAAATTTACTAACACATAAACAAACATTAGTTTTCTTTGTCTTGGATATATAGGTGACGTTATGTTTTTCTTCCTCAATTATATTGTGTAATATAATTTAATAGCTTTTAGTAAAGTATTGCGATAAGAATAGCGTACTTGATTCTTTTGTTTCAAACAATAGAAATCGGTAACTTTTATCAATAGTCTCTTTATTTTTTATGCTGTTCCTGACAATATAAAATAATTGCATGACGTACATTAGTAAAAGGAAAGTCTACGGAGATTATTATGATGGTAACATTACATTTTATTAATTAGGTGAATTCAATGGGTGAGGAAGATTACTGTAAAACATGAAATGATTTGAAAGATTTTTATTAAATTATTTTATTTTATGCCGTTTTATCTTCTCTAAGAGAAACACAGGTGAATAGTCCTGTGAAAACACACATTGTGTTTTTTATAAAGAGTAATTCTGGGGTAAAGTACTAAATGTGGACCATTCAGCTGGGATATCCCATTGGTTTCCATGGTAATAGCTCAACTTGCAGAATGTTGCCCCGGAATTTCTCTTTATACATAACCCCCCTGTGTTTGTTATGCTAATGGAAATCAACGAACAGATTCCTGCCAGACCCAGTAGAGAAAACAGAAGATCATCCAATCAGGTCCATGTAGCCACTCTACATAGAGGTACATGAGGGGACAAAGAGACACGCAGAGAATTGGGAGGAGGGGGGAAGAAACACACAAAGGGCCTTGGGCACAAAGAGACACACAGAAGAGCTGGTGGAAGACAAAGCACAGAGGTGCTAAGGGGAACAAAAAGACACATAGAGGGGCTTGGAGACAAAAAGACACACAGAGGGGCTGAAGGAGACAAAGAGACACACAGAAGGGCTGGGGGGACATAGTAGTTTAATGTTTTATTATTTTTTTCTGCAAATTTGTTTTTAAAAATTGAATCTGGCAAAAAAGAAAAATTGGGGGATGGATGGGTTGCAAATAGCTGGTCTTACCTAGGCCGCAAAATAGTGTAGCACCGGCCCTGAGTGCACTGTATGTTGCTCTCAGCTCTCCTGAGTTAAGTCCCCTCTGACTCATCAAGGTGCCGGTGAGTTCCCCAAATTAAGTTAATTACGGAGTATGCTGCCAGACCAATAGTCCCCGGGATCTTGAAAACATTCCAATATTAAAGTAAACGCTCTCTGTAATGGTGAGCTTACACTTTAATAGCTATTCCAGTGGTACTAAAAGTGTACACTTTGGTTTGAGATTGTGTGCAAGTAGCATTTTTAATTTTATTTTGATTATTATCTTATCGGGGATGAATAAGCTATGGGCCTTATTTTTGTATTTGTATGTGACTTTAGCCATTGCCTTTGGCTGGATTTGCTTTTAGTGAATATTTACAGTTTATAGTGAGATATTCTTCCAGATTCAGATCTTTCTGGATAACTATACTCTGACTGAATGAAAAAAAACCTAAATTACATCCTTTAAGTAAAGTTGTTTATTTCATACATTTAGGCAGAATACTGAAACTGTAGCAGGAACTGGCAACGAGGTAGTAATTTATCATTATCAAGTGTTTTGCAGGCCAAGTAAATTGGAACATAATGACAAACTGTAAACATAAAAATGCTGATTCAGTTGATAAGAACTCAAAGGATTTCTTTGGACGAGACCTATAAATAGACTTTATTTTGTATAAGTGAATTGCGCTTCAAAAAATTCCACTGTTAATAACAGTTAGAGACCTGTGATTTCAGATAAGAATAGTCAGGGTCCTTCAAAACGTGCTAAAATAGCTAAACCCCCAATAAAATGTTAAAATAAAATTTAGGTATATACCCACTAACATATTAGATGTCAAAGCAGTGATTTGCATACCCCCTAACATTTCCAATGGACAATGAGGGATACTTACATTTTAAGGGTGTGAGTTAGGATAAAAAAGAGGGACAGAGGGATATTGGCGAAAAATAGGGACTGTCTGTCTTAAACAAGGAAACCAGGGAGGTATAAACTTGCAGTGATGTGATAACTAATTTGCAAAACTGAAGCTAAAATAGTTAGTCCAGGACCATCATGAATAATGTTACTCACACACACACACACCCAGCCTTTCAATAAAATGCCGTGCTTCTTGCGGTAGTGAATGCACAGCTATTAAATCCTAGAGCTTTTACATTAATTGTTGAACTTGATTCATTTCACACAAAAACCATTCATACTCAGGTATTAACAACCTTTTAAGGACTGTAGTGTAGTCTGTATACAGTTTGTTCAATTGGTTATATACTGGAAAGTGTATGGTGTGGCATTGTGTATCAGTGCGCATATCTGGCAGTCAGTATCCTTGCGTGTGTCTGTCTAGCAGTTTGTATTAGCACCTGTGTGTGTCTGTCTGTGTGTCTGCAGTTATCTGTGTGTGCGTGCGTATGTGTGTGTGTCTGCCTGGCAGTTTGTATCAGTACCTGTGTGTGTCTGTCTGTGTGTCTGCAGTTATATGTGTGCATGTCTGCAGTTATCTGTGTGAGTGTCTGTCTGGTAGCTTGTACTAGTACCTGTGTGTGTGTCTGTGTGTCTGCAGTTATCTGTGTGTGTGTGTGTCTGTGAGTGTAGTTTTCATGTTTAGGAATGAGTCAAGGAGTGTGTCAGAGGGCATGACCAGTGAGGGTGTAGCAGGCTTCCCTTACAAGGAACTTTCTTTGGCAGGCATGCATTCGCACTGTGGAAAGGCACTAGGCCAGAGTGACCCCTACAGTCTTCAGCGGGACGACCCACCTTTTTTCTGGGCAAGCCTTCCCATTATGGGCATCACCAGTGACACGAGCCACCTGTCCCACTTTGCCTACTCCCACTGTTGGGATGTATAGTGTAGTGGGCCTCAATAATTCTAATGTGAAACTGATGGAGGGCATGGAATTGCACCATTATATTACAGTTAATTTGCTCACTTAGTTGTCTTGTCACAAAAGCTATTGTCAGTGAAGATTTGGTGAAAGAATCAATCATTGCTTGAAGTTTAGCAGATTGTAAAATAAATAAATAAATATTTCCCATTTAGGGTATTTTTGACTGATGCGGTTATGTCAGTCTTTCTAAAGTAGAGTGCATCCTGTTTTTTTCACGCACCTGATTTGACAAATTCCCTTTTGGAAACTCAGCTGGAGAAGAAATAATTTGACTCTTCAAAACTAACGGAAGCGACCTGATGATTCCCTGATTAAGGTTGCCATCTTCAGATCGCTGGATGCTGGATAAACCTGAAATTAGTTTATACTAAAAAAAATAAAAATAAAAATTGAGAAAATAAATAGAGAAATAAAATGGCAGATTGAAGTCTTGAAGTAATACTCCTCAATAGAAATCCAGAATTAAATTCCAAAGGGAAATCAGTGCTCCGATATGCAATGACAACTGCAAAAAATATAGCTTAAAGATACAGCACTCCCTCTAAGTCAAAAAAATGTGTCATTCTAAATTTCATCTCATTCTCTCTATGCGTCCCAGCGGAAATTGCAGTCTGCGACACAGGCGTTAGATCAGGGATTGCAGAATAGTGATTCTGATTTATTCTTCATAAAATGTACCGGGTTTTACTTCTACGATTTACATTTCAAAATAACTAGAAGACATGTTTTTGTTTGAAGGAAATTAGAGATGGATGTTCATGGGTATCAGATATTTCTAGCTGAATAAAAATTGTTTGCTAAATCTAACAGATTAGTTCTTTCTTGTGAAGTGACTCTTTTCACCTCGTTTAGGACCGTCATTTGACAAATCACTTGTGACCATGGAATTTCTATCTTGTCATTGGTCCATAATGAATGCATGTAAACTCTCTGTCTTTTATATCAAACAGTATAAAAAATAACCAGGGTTTTTCTTTTCACTGAACAGTAAATTATGGCAAAATAAAATATAGATATTGTAAAATTTAAGCCAAAATGTTAGTAACATTACAAATTTTTACTTAGCTATCATCTTGCCTATTTAGTCCTAATTTTTTCATAGATCTGTTTTTCAATAGATAACACAAATATCTTACAATAAATATATATTTTAATGAGGGTCGCTGGCCACCCACAGCCCGGGTCCTACTGTAGGTATGGCTAAGGCAGAGATCATACACTTTCTTAAAGCTATAGTAAATTATACCTGAATGGGGAATATGATAGGCAGAACTTGGTTACCTGATACTCTTAGCCAATCGGAGCTGCCCATTGCTGCTCGGGGTAATGTTTTGATATTATCCCAAGCAGCACAGAGAGGACGGGTTGTTTGGGTAAGACAATTGTGTAGCATTAAATAAAACAATAAAGATGGTTTAACGCTGAAGGGAATGGCGATGCCAGGGAACTCCAAACACTATAACCACGTCAATAAAAAGTTCAATTGCCTACAGTGTTTCTTTAATGAGGTGGTTCTTGTGTATAGATCATGTTCCTGCAGTCTCACTGCTAAATTCTCTGCCATTTAGAAGTTAAATCACTTTGTTTATTTAGGAACCTTTAATACGTTACATACACAGGACTGAATTCTCACTGAATAGCTATTCCTCCAATAAAGTCTATGGGATAATTAGTATTCGGTAAAAAGAATAACCCCTAATTTCCTAAGAAAATACAACCCAGTGTGTTTACTTTTGAAGTTTGTGTCCTCCTGTTTGCTAATTTCCTGCAAATGCAAACCAAGCTCCAGTATGAGACGGTGAAACAAGAAATCAAAGCTTTCATGCCTGCAGACTATTTTCAGACATATTCCCTCATTTCATTTTATTAATATAATTTGTAAAGCATTCATGAATGAGGAAGTTAATGCTGGTCAAAAAGAGGACATATCAGTATAGCTGCAGGACACGTTGAAGAGGTGGGGTTTTAGGAAAATAATTTAGAAAAATAATAAATGCATATTTTTTATTTTAACTGCCTTGTTCAAGCATGCTCCCCAACAGTCCCACTTTCCTGGCCAGACAGCATGCTAATCATCATGGACATCGCTACTGACGTGCGTCTTCACTAGTGAAGCTCAAACATGACTCCACCCACTCCGTCCAAATTTCACACCACCCATTGTTTGGAGGTATGTTCAAGCGCATCAAAACTTATACATTTTTAAACCAAACCATGCCTTTAAAGAGAAGTGTTATTATCACTGGTATGTAAAGTAATACAGTGACAGAATTTTACTAAAAAGAGAGTCCAAAGCTAATTCAAAGTGATTTTCACATTTTAGTTCAAAGCAGCCAACTTAAAGCATTGTTATACCAGTTAAATGCTATTTTCTCTCTTTTTTTCTTTTTCCAAAAACTGCAGATTTCAACAGAATCTTTGCTACACCCGTGGCTGTCAAGCAGACAACCAGTCCTGTTATTTCCTGGTTTGGTTAGCTCAGTAAAGCTAAACTCAAGCAATTGCTCAGAGCACCTGCCTTGAAAATACTTCTCATTGAGCTGCATTGGGAAGTCTGTGATTGGACAGACACAGAAAGTCTGGGCGGAGTTAGAAGGGGAGGGCTTACAAAGGCTGCAGAAAAGGAACTGCAATTTTTACTGTTTTTATATATATTTCCAATTATAAAAAAAAATGCATAATTAAAGGCATTCAACTTTTTATTATGGCATATCTAGTAAACAGGGGTTGTTTGTGTTATTGTTTGGGCAGTGGAGTGCCCATTTAAATTTGAAATTCACTTTGGATTCACTTTGAAATAATACTTTAGTAAATAACCCTGAGTGTTTCATAGCATAGTGAATAATTTGTAGTTTAATATGTCAACTTAGTGCTGCTTACAATGGACACTAATGCCAATGAAATCATTGTGTTATTTAAACAATTCATTTATTTCAAATGTTTTTTTAAAATACTGAATTAATTTTTTTCCCAAAGGAAATACTTTGTATCTGCTCAGTACACATTAGATCAAAATAGCATTGAATCAATAAATAGGATCACATAAATCATGTCTTACAGACACAATATTTATTTAATAATTATGGTCTTTGAGTTGATAACTTTAGAACCAACTTAAAAATGAAATGGGCTCTCAACGTAACAGATTTTGTTCCTCAAAAGCCTGCTACCCCCCAAAATACATAGCTAAATCCAACCCTTTAAAATCTAGTCTGAAGTGGGCATCTGTGTGTTCTCACACGGTAGATGTCCCCACCATCCCTGCCAGATTACACACATGCAAGGTTACACGTACAGCTTACTTGATGAAAATATTTTTTTGAGAAAGTTCTGAGTTGCATATCCCATAAACACCTTTGGGCTGAATATAATAATTAAGGAGATGATTCTGATAGGCTGAGACACTTCCTGGACTGGCACTGCTAACTGCAGAAGCTGCAAAGCATTTGTATTGAAATTTGTACTTGTTTTTTTTTAATGCATTAAGACAATGTGACCACCTGCAGTCAGGAACATTCCATTAGGAACAAATTAAGAAGCTGAGGCTCTCAGTCGATCAGCGGTGCTCAGTACTAGGCGCCCTGTCTCAAGTGGATATGGAAGTGTCATTGTTGAACAAACCGAATCTCTTCTAACACAGCCCGGCCATGCTACAAGGAGTAGGTGAGCTGGCACAGGGGCAGAGACCTCAAAGGAGGAGGTGGAGGGGGAATACAAAGAGACACAGAGGGGTTAGGAAGGAGCAAAAGAGACAGACAGGGGCTGGGGAAGGGGCAAAAGAGACAGACATTGGCCTGGGGGGATGACACCAAGAGGGGCTGGGGGGGGACAAAGAGACCAAGAGGGACTCGGGAAGAGACAAAGTGCTGGGGGCAAGAGGCATACAGAAAGGCTGGGAAGGCAGGAAAGAGACACATACAATCAGCTGGAGGGAGAAAGAGACATACAGAGGGGCTGGGAAAGGGAAGATACACACAGGAAGGCTGGGAAATAGGAGAAAGAGACACTCAAGTGAGCTGAGGAGAAGGATACACACAAAGGGTCCGAGTGAAGAAAGAGATACACAAAGGAGTTGGGGGAAACAAGAGACACACAAAGGAGCTGGGGGGGGGTAAGAGACACACAAAGGGGATGTGTAAGAGACACACAAAGGGAAAAATGGGGAATAAGATACAATAAAGGGTGTAAGACATGATAAGAAACACAAAAGGGGGTAAGAAATTCAAGAGGTGGATTAAGGGACACACTGTTGCATTTTTGCGGGGAGGAACGGGTGGGCTGTAGCCAATATCCTTGCACTAGCCCTGCTTACATGCTTACAGAAATGTGGGCATTAGTGCTCTACCAGCACAAAAATACAAAAGTGATCCTTTTTAGAAATGATGTTGCAAAAAAACCACTTTATTAAACTACAATTCTGTATCTTATTATATAAGCTAGAAATATCAGAATAAATAGTTGTAATTTTGATCCTTTTTCACATGCATAAAGCTTGCACAGACATTCCCATAAACACGATACCGGTTCATTAGTGGAATTATTTATGCACAGCCACCAAATAGCAACTCAAGTGCTAAAACAAAATCAACATAGATCCAACCTTGTGCCAGTGTGCGAGAAATGGTAAGAGAGTTTACTCGAATTATAAGGATGCGAAGACTAACCATCGGGATCTAAACAGCAATACATTCCTTCCTGGCCCTATTCATTCTAGGATGAGTTCTGTCTATTTTGCTTTCAGACTTAAATCTCTTTGTACTACAACTCACAGCTTAATGCAGTTTGTATTGGCAAACCGTCAATTTCTGGTTTGGCCTCTCAAGTGACCAGAATAAATAGGCAATAAATTGAAAATACTATGCAGTTTAAACATAAATCAATTGCATGGTGCATAATTTATGAGCCTAGATTGTCTAGTTCAGTGGTATCATAGATGTAAACAGATCTCACACTATACAGATAATGCAAGTTGAACTCAGTATGTCATCCAGTGGTATCACAACAGAATACGCCACATGTTGTCTTTGCTGCTCATCTGAAAATAACAAACATGCACCTTACAGTTCATGCATAAACAATCTTTTTTCACATATGTAGCAGAAGATCATAATACTGTTTGCAAAAGTGAACTTGCACAACCTGTAAAAGACGATACGATGCATAGCAGGCACTTTGTTAAATACGTAAACCATTTAGAATGCAAGGAAACAAATATCGCCATATTTGCAAATTCCTCCAATCGACAAACTTCTACAATCGCTACATAGTTTAAAACCACAGAGAATAGCATCACTGCTCTATAATCTGACAAATGTTACCTGTGAATGTAATACACTGAGTATAGCCTGGTCATATTCACATGGGAAATTTAAATCTCTATTTCTTTTTTTTTTGTATTGTAAAAGAGCTATTATTTAATTATTTAAAAACATTGTAGTTCTGTCACGAAAAGTAAACTTTATCTAATAAATACAATTTTCAAAATCCTGAGTGGTCTAGTTTTCATAAAATATATAAGTAGGGGCTACATTGTGTATAGCAGCCAAGTTGACAAAATGGGGCTTTATTTCAGCCAATCACATTTATCCACAATCCTTCAGTATAAGCAATCCCACAGAAAGGCAAACGGCAGACATCATGGGCTGAGGATAATAAAATTACGGCGGCCAGATATTGAGTTCTGGCACAAGAAAAAAAAATTTAATATATATAAATAAAACCAAGAGACAATGGGGGAGTAAAATCATTAAGATACAGTGGACATAAAGAAAATAAAACCATGACAGAGCTGTTGAAAATGGAACATAACTCTATGTTCTGTGGTCAAGACCCCACATTTATTATTTTAACTGTTGTGGAATGCCCACTTAGGCTCTACTGAAAAACACCCCTAAATGTTATAAAACTTCTATTTTGATATTTTCTATTGAATGATCCCCACAATTCAATCCCAATAATACAAAAATAATTACAAACACTGTTATACTAAGACAGATGTATCTATAACGTTATTGCTTAAGTATCAGTCATGTCTGGGTAAAGTGTATACCAATTATTGCAATTTTGCTATTTTTTGCATTTTTCAATGTTATGTAGCATACTACAGGTACCCCAATTAATTAATCAATCCTAATCATCTACCCAACAGTTTATAATCATGGCACGTGACCAGACAGATATTCTTAGATACAAATTATCATATATCAAATTTCACATGTCATCGTTGTTTATGTACCAATGTAACCATGGTGATTGTTCCACCTCTATTCGTCACATGATCTCAGTGATCAGAATGCATAGGCTGTGGCTATACATTCTGAGAGATCACTTCAGGCTTGATTAAAAAAAACTATGGTCAGAAACCTGCCTAGGCTGTAAGAACAATTATAAGTACTCTAGTGCTTTAAATTTAGGAGTGTTTTTCTTGTTTTGTCCATTGAAGTTATGAGCTATTGGCAGATCCTCAGCATCTTATCACCCTTCACATTTATCGTTTATCTGCATGATTGCTAACTCATGTTTTCTTACTTACAAGGCATTCAATGAGAACAGCATTACAGTCATTTAATCCAGCAAATGTTACCAGTGAAAACAAAACACGGATCAAGCCTAAAAATTATCCATATACATAATCCGTATTTGATTCTGCATTATTTATAATTAAATGGTTTACGGCTGCTTAACACCATCATCCTCAACTTATTATCTGTCCAATATATCTCTCGAGAAGAATGTCTTTTCCCAACTCCAAATTTGGCAACCAACAGGTATTGAAAGGTAGTCATTCAGACATCCTCAACCTACAGGTATGAAGGTAGTCCTTCAGACATCATCTAGTTGAGTCAGCTATGAGATGTGGTTCAAACTCTATAAAAGTAGTCCACAATAGTAAGACAAACATTAAGCTGCTGTTGAATGGCAACTAACTCTGCCAAAGTACATCCAAAAGTTCATGAACAAGGCAAATGCCCTGATCCTAGAGGCTGAGAAATACACAACTCGTTTTAGGGGTACCTCCACAAGTTAGTATTTCCAGGAACACAACAAATGTTAGAGAACTTTTAAAATGTCAGCAACTGCAGATTGACTATGACTACCGAATTCTGTAGACAAGCCTCTTGCAAGATTGACAACCTCTATAACGCTGACTATGACTACAGAATTCTGTAGACAAGCCTCTCGCAAGATTGGCAACCTCTGTAACGCTAGCTGGAACAAAGACGCACCACACAGCTGTATCATTAAAATATCTCTGTGGATAGTCCATCATTTTTGATAGAGACATCTCAATTAGTTTGTGAACCTCTGATCTTTAAGCAGTTGTGGAATGACACCAAGCACAGCGGTTGTAGAATGACACCAAGTACACCCCAAGTTTAGAAGACAAACTCTTTAATACGAACACCTGTAGTTACTATATTTAGATACCTCCACATGTTAGACAGTAATCTCTGTCTGTCCCTCTGCTTTTTAAATGTCTCCTAACTACAATGGAATCTCCCAATCCTACAAATTAATCAGCCTCTACCAGTTTAAGTTGTAATTCGAGCTGCTCGGGATGATAGGGACTGTATTGCAATGCAGGTGGTACAGAAGGCAGGCTGGCTGGACATGATGATATTTGTCATTCAACACTTAGGGTGACAAAGGTGCCCGGCTTTCAAAAAAACATTTTTCGCAATTCCAACATTCCCCAACGCAAACAACAACAACATATATAAAACATTGTATAAAAGGATACATTGTAAAACATTTGCATATGAAACAACAACAAAAAATTAAATTTATTCTAATATATTAAAGGTGGCCATAAAAGTAGATCCCCAGCTGTTTGGACAATTACAAGTTACTTGATCCCTGTAGGCCGGCAAAGCATCTTAGAAGTTGTAGTTCTACAAACTATTTGGGAAGTTTGTTTTTTTAATAACTCAATGCTATACATTGTGTGAGTTTTTTCTAGTTATTACCAGTACTGGCCAGCATAGGGAGGTTCACAGTAAGCTGGGTAAAGTCCTGGTTGTCCCAGCTAGTTGCCTAGTTAAACCCAGCAGCCTTTTCAACATGTTCCCTCAACAGCCACATTCTCTGACATTTTATCAGCCACTCACAGGCACGTTCCACTATTTTGCCCCTAGGAGTCACTTACTAGTAGTATGTTCCCCAGTAATGTATCCACAGCAGCCACTCAACAGGATGTCCCCCAGCATTTCAACCCAAGCAGTCATTCAACACAATGTTCCCTAATACTTTACCCCAAGCATCCACTCAACAGAATGTCATGTTTCTCAGAAAGTTATCCTCAGCAGCCACTCACCAGAATGTTCCCTGGTATTTTACCCCAAGCAATCACTTACCAGGATGTTCCCCAGTCTTTTACCCCAAGCAATCACTTACCAGGATGTTCCCCAGTCTTTTACCCCAAGCAATCACTTACCAGGATGTTCCCCATTCTTTTACCCCAAGCAATCACTTACCAGGATGTTCCCCAGTCTTTTACCCCAAGCAATCACTTACCAGGATGTTCACCAGTCTTTCATCACCAGCAGTCACTCACCAGATCATTGCCCAGTGTTTTACCCCTAGCAATCACTAATCTGGATGTTCCCAGCATTTTACCCCCAACACTCACTCACTAGGATGTCCCATAGCATTTTACCCCAGAAGTCACTCACCAGGAAGTTCTCCAGTATTTTACCCTAGCAGTCACTCACCAGGACCATCCCCTATGTTTACCCCCAGTAGTCACAGACCTGGACCATCCCCTGTGTTTACCCCCAGTAGTCACAGACCAGGACCTTCCCCTGCATTGTATTCCATTTGGCAAACAGTAGAACCTTCCCTGCATTTTCTACCCCCAGCAGTCATACAGCAGGACGTTTCCATAAATTTGAACCCTAGAAGTCAGACAGCAGTACCCCTCTCTGCACTTACCCCACAGCAGTCATATGGCAGGGCATTCATCAGCATTTTACCCCTAGCAGTTACTCACCAGGACCTTCCCCTACATTTTACCCCTAGTAGTCAGACAGCAGGACCTTCCTCTGCATTTTACCCCTAGCAGTTACTCACTGGGACCTTCATCTGCAATTTACCCCTAGTAGTCTCCCCTGCAATTTACCCCCAGTAGTCACCCCCTGCAATTTACCCCTAGTAGTCAGACAGTAGGACCTTCCCCTGCAGTTTACCCCCAGTAGTCACTCATCCCCTGCAGTTTACCCCAGTAGTCTCTCACCCCCTGCAGTTTGCCCCCAGTAGTCACTCATCTCCTGCAGTTTACCCCAATAGTCACTCACCCCCTGCAGTTTACCCCAGTCGTCTCTCACCTCCTGCAGTTTACCCCAGTAGTCACTCACCCTCTGCAGTTTACCCCAGTAGTCTCTCACCCCCCGCAGTTTACCCCCAGTAGTCTCTCACCCCCTGCAGTTTACCCCCAGTAGTCTCTCTCCCCCTGCAGTTTACGTTTACCCCCAGTAGTCTCTCTCCCCCTGCAGTTTACCCCCAGTAGTCTCTCACAGCCTGCAGTTTACCCCCAGTAGTCACTCACCAGGACGTTCCCCTGCATTTTCGCCGTTTTGATCATTGCCTTCTCCTTCATCTTGGCTCCTGGTGTCTCTCTCACTGGCCACCCAGGGCTTCCTGACTCTCAATCCATTCGCTTTGGGCTGACTTTAGGAGGTTTCCCTTCAGGCTTTTCCTTCTTTTTCTGTTTATTCTCCCTCTTTTGCATGTATTTCCAGCAGCATGTTGTGCCCGCCCTCTCCCTCCCCTGCTCTCCCTCTCGGTATATGGAGATATTTTGTATCTGTTTTTGTGAATGGGTGGCTGTCTCCGTCCTTATTGAGATGCTCTGGCCGTGACGTGGAGAGGGGGGACCAGTGTCTGGTACCCGGAGAGATGTGTTACCTTATGGGTCGGGCACACACAGGCAGTCTGTGTGAGGGAGCATGCTGGCCCAGGTCCTGGCTGTGTAATAAATCAATCTGCACATCTCCCCTGCTCTATGTAAATACAAACTATTAACCCTATCATCCCCAAAGAATGAGGGATTCCTTCATTTCCCCAGATGTGTGTAGATAAAACAAAATATTAACCCTTTCCTTCCCATGTGAGAGCAATCCCTTAATCTCCCCACCTCTATATAATAGAAACTCTTAACCCTTTCCTTTCCATGGGAGAGCAATCCCTTAATTTCCCCACCTTTGTATAAAAGACACTCTTAACCATTTCCTTCCCATGGGAGAAAAATCCCTTAATCTCAAAAGCTCTGTATATATATATATATATATATATATATATATATATATATATAAAATAAAAAATAAAAAATTAACCCTTTCCTTCCCATGGGAGAGCAATCCCTTAGTCTCCCCACCTCTGTATAAAAGAAACTCTTAACCTTTTCCTCCCCATGGGAGAAAAATCCCTTAATCTCAAAAGCTCTGTAAAAAAAGAAACTCTTAACCTTTTCCTTGCCATTATTCTCCCCATCTCTGTATAATAGAAACTCTTAACCCTTTCATTCCCATGGGAGAGCAATCTCTTAATCTCCTCACCTCTGTAAAATAAACTCTTAACCCTTTCCTTCCCACGGGAGAGCAATTCCTTTATCTCCCCACCTCTGTATAAAAGAAACTATTAACCCTTTCATTTCCAAGGGAGAAAAATCCCTTAATCTAAAAAAGCTCTGTAAAAAAAAAAACTCTTAACCTGTTCCTTGCCATGGGAGATCAATCCCTTAATCTCCCCACCTCTGTAAAATAAACTCTTAACCCTTTCCTTCCCATGGGAGAGCAAGCTCTTAATCTCCCCACCTCTGTATAAAAGAAATTCTTTACTCTTTCCTTCCCATGGGAGAAAAATCCCTTAATCTCAAAAGCTCTGTATATATATATATATATATATATAAAAAAAAAAAATTAACCCTTTCCTTCCCATGGGAGAGCAATCCCTTAGTCTCCCCACCTCTGTATAAAAGAAACTCTTAACCTTTTCCTCCCCATGGGAGAAAAATCCCTTAATCTCAAAAGCTCTGTAAAAAAAGAAACTCTTAACCTTTTCCTTGCCATTATTCTCCCCATCTCTGTATAATAGAAACTCTTAACCCTTTCATTCCCATGGGAGAGCAATCTCTTAATCTCCTCACCTCTGTAAAATAAACTCTTAACCCTTTCCTTCCCACGGGAGAGCAATTCCTTTATCTCCCCACCTCTGTATAAAAGAAACTATTAACCCTTTCATTTCCAAGGGAGAAAAATCCCTTAATCTAAAAAAGCTCTGTAAAAAAATAAACTCTTAACCTGTTCCTTGCCATGGGAGATCAATCCCTTAATCTCCCCACCTCTGTAAAATAAACTCTTAACCCTTTCCTTCCCATGGGAGAGCAAGCTCTTAATCTCCCCACCTCTGTATAAAAGAAATTCTTTACTCTTTCCTTCCCATGGGAGAAAAATTCCTTAATCTCAAAAGCACTGTAAAAAACAAACAAACAAACAAAAAAACCTATTAACCCTTTCCTTCCCATGGGAGAGCAATCCCTTAATCTCCTCACCTCTGTAAAATAAACTCTTAACCCTTTCCTTCCCGCGGAAGAGCAATTCCTTTATCTCCCCACCTTTGTATAAAAGAAACTATTAACCCTTTCATTTCCAAGGGAAATGAAAGGGTTAATTCCTTTAAAGCTCTGTAAAAAAGTAAACTCTTAACCTTTTCCTTGCCATGGGAGATCAATCCCTTAATCTCCCCACCTTTGTGTAATAGAAACTCTTAACCCTTTTCTTCCCATGGGAAAGCAATTCCTTAATCTCCCCAGCTCTGTATAAAAATAAAATATTAACCCTTTCCTTCCCATGGGAGAGCAATCCTGTATTCTCCCAAGCACTGTAAAAACAACTCTTAACCACTTCCTTCCCATGGGAGAGCAATCCTTTAATCTACCCACCTCTGTAAAATAAACTCTTAACCCTTTCCTTCCCATGGGAGAGCAATCCCTTAATCTCATCACCTCTATATAAAATAAATTCTTAACTCTTTCCTTCCCATGGGAGAGCAATCTCTTAATCTCCCCACCTCTGTAAAAACAACTCTTAACCCTTTCCTTCCCATGGGAGAGCAATATCTTAATCTTCCCACCTCTGTACAAAATAAATTCTTAACTCTTTCCTTCCCATGGGAGAAAAATCCCTTAATCTCAAGAGCACTGTAAAAACAAACAAAAAAAAACAAATAAAACTATTAACCCTTTCCTTCCCATGAGAGAGCAATCCCTTAATCTCCCCACCTCTGTAAAATAAACTCTTAACCCTTTCCTTCCCACGGGAGAGCAATCTCCTTATCTCCCCACCTCTGTATCAAAGAAACTATTAACCCTTTCATTCCCAAGGGAGAAAAATCCCTTAATCTCAAAAGCTCTGTAAAAAATACTCTTAACCTTTTCCTTGCCATGGGAGAGCAATCCCTTAATCTCCCCACCTCTGTATAATAGAAACTCTTAACCCTTTTCTTCCCATGGGAGAGCAATTCCTTAATCTCCCCAGCTCTGTATAAAAAGAAAATATTAACCCTTTCCTTCCCACGGGAGAGCAATCCTGTATTCTCCGCAGCTCTGTAAAAACAACTCATGGGAGAGCAATCCTTTAATCTCCCCACCTCTGTAAAATAAACTCTTAACCCTTTCCTTCCCACGGGAGAAAAATCCCTTACTCTCAAAACCTCTGTATAAAAAGAAACTCTTAACCCTTTCCTTCCCATTGGGAGAGCAATCCTTTAATCTCTCTAGCTCTCTCTGTGTATATATATATATATATATTTATATATTTATATATATATATATATATATATATATATATATGTTAAAAAATAAACTCTTAACCTTTTCTTCTGTATTCTCCCCAGCTATATATAAAAATAAATATAAAAATAAATCAATTCATTGATTTCCCCAGCACTGTATAAAAAGAAAATCTTAAACCCTTTCCTCCCCATAGAAAAAGGGATTCCTTCATTTCCCCAGATGTGTGTAGATAAAAAAAAAAAATCTTAATCATTTCCTTCCCATGGGAGATCAATCCCTTAGTACAAATATGTAAAAAAAAGCATCTTAACCATTCTCCACCACAGAGAAAGGAACCCTTTAATCTCTTCAGGTGAATGTGAATAGGAACTCAACCTCTTCCTTCCCTCAGAGAAATGAATCCCTTCAACTCTCCACTTCTGCAGAAATAGAAACTCTTAACGTTTCCTTCCCATAGAATAAGGGATACCTTCAAGTCCCAAGCTCTGACATAACAAAAACAAAAGAAACCCTCAACATAAATAAACTCCTTCATTTTTCATCTCTGTGTACATAGATATTTCTTAACCCCTTCCTCTTCCCACAGACTAAATGATCCCTCTGTTTCTCCAGCTGTGGGTAAAAGGGACTCTTAACGCAGTTCTGTCATGTCTTTTCTTGTAAATACCACCATGTGCTCCCCCATTTGTTTCTTTTTCTTAAAACAAAACGTATTTTTAAAGTTATACATAAGGATATGCAGGGCCTACTTTTCCTGTGTACAACTTCAGGTTGACAAATGTTGACAATGGGCGGAGCTTTAGGCACTATGTGCTGACTGTAGGGTACTCACACGAGTCAACACGGATTGGAGGCCTTGGGCGCGAGTACGGGCAGAACGTTAAACTCCGGTTCTGCCATGTTAAGAACCGAAACATGGTGGCGCTGTAAGAGAAGACCCAGCAGGGTTGGCGCAACGTTGGATAAGGGAGCCTAAAATAGTTATTAGGGAGTTGGGGGAAGAGCTTTAGGGAAGCTGGGGGACAGTCACAAAATAAATGACAGAGCTGTTTTAACCACACAATAAATGATCCCTTTATCCCCCAGCTCCGTATAAATAAAAACTATAAACCCTTTAATAAGGGATCCCTTCATTTCCCAGTTATGTAATAAAAAAATAACCCCTTCCTTCCCACAAAGTAAGATATCCTCCATTTATTTATCTCTGCATAAATAAAAACTCTTAACCTGTTCCTACTGAAAAAAAAAAAAAAAAATTAATCTCGCTTATTAAACAACATATTTATATTTCAGCACAGAGCAGATAATACCCTTTTTATCACCTTTCCTTGTATCTGTTCCTAAAATACTTTGTCTCCTCCTTAATGCTATAAAGGTTATTAATTAAAGTTTAATTGTCCTGGTGCAGATTTGGAATATTCACCCAGATCCATCCATGGGAATTCAGACGGCAAAATTCGGACATAAATTCGGACATAAATTCGGACATAAATTCGGACATAAATTCGGACATGAAAATAAAATCCTCCTCATCCGATGCCCATGCGTGGGGGATGTGTGTGGTGAGAACAATTCACAGCCCCCCTCCACTTAATTATAATTTACCTTCCACTCACCACCAATTGATGGAAAATTGGCATGTTCAGCACAAAACCATATTATTAGAGCACATACATGGTGTCCATGGGTGAGGGTGGGGGAAGGACCCCATTGAGGAAGTTAGTTAGGATTCCAGTGTGGCTGCTTTGTCCTTAAATTTGAAATTCACTTAGAATTTTTGAATTCTCACTTTAGTAATTAACCCTGTTGGTATTGTTCACCAAGTACTTTCAGACTATAAGGTGTGAGTCCATATATATTTGATAGGTAACTAGATATACTGTCATACCTAAACAAGGAGTCTCTCGTGTTACAATGAGACAATATCAGCTGCTTTGCCAACTGTCACAGCTGATGGGCCGGGCCAACCACAAAAGAGGATAATGCCTCTTCACAGTCTGATCAACACTCAGACAT